TTCTTACATAATATTGCATTTTCTTGCTGGACAATTTTGTATATATGTCCCACACTACATTTTTAAGTACAAATTGTGCAGTGATTTTTGCGCACTGGAAGGCTGCAGTCGAGACCTCAGCTGCCATGTCAGCAGCTTGTAGTGGCTGTAGAAAATCAATTTATTGTAGAACAGATTACTACAAGCCTGGCTTCAGATATGCACCTTAAATGTTCTGTCATATGCTTTATACATTTTTACAGTTACCCCTCAAATCTGGAAGACATTTGCAATTGGTTTATATTTATTTTATCTATTTTATATTATTTATCTATTTTATGTTAATATATGAATTAAAGACTGAATGTTATAACAGGGGAAATTAGTTTGTTGATGCAAATTGTGAATGAATGATTTTTTTCTTTGAGCCTAACAATGCTGAGGAGGGCATATGGCATTGTTCCATATTGGTCTATTGAGCTGCTGTCTGGGAACTCTTGCCTCTCTGTTGCACCATCCATAAACAATTCACGTAGACTGGAGAATTACATGTTGTCAGCAGTGAACAATTTATTTGACACATTTCTGTTCTCAAATGCAGGGTAAATTAGCATAACTGAGCTGCAAGAATTTGTTTCATTACATCATTAGAATGTTTATTTTTATAGCCAAACCACAACCTTTTTCACAACAGCCGGAAGTGCCTCAATGTAGGGCAAATGTCACTTGCGTTAATGCTTTTCTATGGCAAAATATCTGTGGTAATGTCTTGTGTACCACCAGCTTCATAAATTTGCCCCATCACCAAATCTTCCATGAAGAATTTATCCACAACTATCAAGGTAAGAAAGATGAAAATGTAAAGACTAACTATGACAAGCAATAGTGAAGTACTCCTGAGCAAAACTAACATTATGGTCAAGAATAAAACATAAGTAATGAGTAATTCGTTAATAAGTAAATTGCAAATTGATTCTACACTTAAAATTAAAAATCGATGATGATCATGATGTCGATATTAGCATAGATGGAGAGATGTGTGTAGTTTGTTCACAGATTACATATCAAGCATTTAAACTGCATAAATGTCTCTATCTATGCTAATATCAACATCATGAAATCGAGTTTTAATTTCGAATGTAGAATCAGTCTGAGTTAACAAGTTATTTATGTTTTATTCATGACCATAATAAAATAGTTAGTTTTGCTCAGGAGTAGTTCACTAATGCTAGTCATTGTTAGCCTTTACATTTTTGTCTTTCTTACCTTGATAGTTGTGGATAAATTCTTCATGGACAGAATATTCCCTTTGTGGACTTTATTGGATGAAGATTTGGTGATGGGTAGGCAGATTTATACATCTGGTGGAAAATGCGCGACACATTTCCACAGATATTTTGCCATAGAAAAGCATAAGTGAAGTTTACCCTACACCATGGCACTTCCGGCTGTTGTGAAAAAGGTCTGTTGGTAGGGCATATTCTAAAGCAGGCATTTGCAAACTGTTTACACAAATTCCTCTTAAAGAAAATATTAAACTTTACACGTTCTGCTAAAATAATTATCAAATTAAATAACCATCAAAGAATAGAAATAAGTGCTTCAGGAAAAATGGCTGTAAACTGCTGATCCCACAACATGTTGATCTGAACAAAGATATGGTCATCTCTGAATTGAATTGGACATAGATGAAATAGCTTCCAAACACTTTGCCTTCATTAGTATGTGGTCTGTGATTGGATTTAAGCTGTGGCTCCTTATCAGCAAAACAGCACTTACAATCTATTAAGTCATTGCTCTTCTCCTGCAGCCTCTCTGTGGTCCACCAACCAATTGATCTCTATGCAGCGCTATATTCTTTTTCCTGTATATCCTGTTCTTAATTCTTGTCTTATTTATAAATATTTGCTCTATACCTAAAAATACCTTCTTTCCATTGGTGTATGCTGACAGCCAGATCATTGTTAGTCTTTTATACTACACACAAGTAGCATCTGTATTTATGCTTCTCAACCCTATAGTACTTATTATTACAATGTTGTCCGTTACTTTGCCATTAAAACCCACAAATAACGGAAAGTAACAAAGCATGTCTGATATGAATAGTTTTAACTTAACTATTTTCAATGAATCTTCTCGAGGGTCAATGCTGGTTTTCATAAAATAACACTGGGTGAGCGGTTCCTTGACGCTTTGAGTGCCTTGAAGGTAGAAAAGCGCTATAGAAAAATATGACTATTTACTATTTACAGTATTGCCATTGCCCAAAATCGATCTGATCTGTATTTTAAATGTCAGTGTCTTCAAACGTAGAATTTCCAAGCCCAATATTCCCACAGCAGTAGCAATATTGTGAGTGATGGGTCCTGTGGAGTGTGAATGCGCCTTGAGATGGTTGAAGAAAGCCTTTTTTTCAGATCGGTATTTCCTCTCCGACTCAGTGGTTACAGATAAAACATTGTCCAGTTGCTTGTGGCAGGGATACAGAGTCAAGTCAACACCACTGTGATTGCTTTGAGGTGAAAAACTCATTGGCATAGGTCCACAGCATTACTTTTATGAGTGACTGAGCGTCCATCAGTTTATACAGTGTGTGCAGCATGGGCCGGCTGTTACCATGGTTACCACTGTCTGTCTCAATGGTTGTTCATGTGGGGAAATAAAATGGGGAAAGAGGGATTGGCAGAAATATAAAAGTTTGGACATTGATTTGTTGAATAAATTGAACACTACTGCATTTTTATTATGCCAGTGCATGCAGACTTTTTAATGTTGAAACTCTTCTTTTTTGTCAAAATGTAGATAACATCTATCTGTAAACTTGGACTACCTCTCACTTTAACCTGTTCTATAAATAAGGAAAGTAAGATAACTAATTCTAATATAATATTTTAATGTACACTTTACATTTTGCGGCCACTCTATCTAATTGTCCCAGTCTCAAGAATATATAAATAGATGATTGTGTTGTTAGCGAATCTGTCTGATGTGAATCCTATGCCAAATCAATACGCAAACGACTGCAAGCTTGGAAGTTAATGCAGCATTTGCTAAGGCGACCCCAGATGGAAAAAAACAAAATGAAAGGCGTTATATTTAATGTCTGATCTGGCAGAGTACTTTCAAACAGATAATATATAGCACTTAACTTTCCTTAACACTTACAAATGTATCACTAATCTCTATCTCTGTATGTCTGTAATTCTGAGACCCCTAGCAGATGTCCAGTTAGTGTTCGGAGCCATGATGTACCCATCATGCCATCTGGTTGTCCCAAACAAGCTGGGGGCAATATGGTGGTCATGTGAAACTCTGGCTCAAAGTAAAGCCCTCGGCCTGAACTCAAAGAGAGAGAGAGAGCGCGGAAGGAGGGAGCGAGGAGAGGGAGGGAGGAAGCAAGAAAGAAACCAAAGTGGAGGGGCGGGGTGATGGATTTGTGGGATGTAATGTCCTCTCCAAAAAGCACAAAGAAAGACAACTCTAGAAAACTCATTAACGTAATTGCAATACAGTCAATGTTGAGTCATAGAAGATAAATCAAAATTTCTGTTGAATGCTACAAAAACAGATAATGAGCTTAATATAATCAAATGAAAAGTATATTGTTAAGTTGTTTAAAGGTCCTATATTACACAAAATGGATTCTTGTGAGCTTTAAGACATGTTAAAAGGTTGTCACGTCCTCAAAAACATGCCTGGAGTTATGTGTTGTTTCATTCACACATGTTTGCGTAATCCGTTTATTATTAGTCTGTCTCCAATCTCAGAATGTTCCGTTCCACTTTGTGATGTGACGTAGTGGTAGTTTTCAGGTTAACAGCTACCTTTTACTCAGCCTAAATAAGCAGGGTTTGTGTGCTAAATGTGTGAATGAAACAAACCATATTTCCAGGTATGTTTTTGATGAGGAAACAACATTAGAATACAGATCGGAAAATGGCGTAGGCTCTTTAATAGGCTCTTTAAATCGTGTGTTACAGTCATACAATTTCTTAACCTGTGAAGCTGCCTGCTACAAAAACCTGAACCATCTCTTTGCTTGTTGCTCTGTAGTGGAGGTTATGCGTGGTCACTCAGCGCTGTCTGTCTGTGTCTATCACATCAAAGCCCTCGCATGCACAGGAGCCTACCCGGGGCTGTCAGAGTCTGCTAGTCCATCTTTTTTATTTATTGAGCCTACACTACATTTATAAATAAAATCAGTTTTAGATGCTGTTTGATCTGACTTCACATGGTTTTGTGCATTTGGGATGCATTAAGTTTCGGCCTTAATATTTTATTCCTTCAGGTAATAATTTTGGTCAGTATATATTTTTTGTAGACCAGATCATCTTGTATACATAGTGTGTGTTTATTTTTTACCTTTTGACTTGTCCTCAGTTTTACTTTGACTGCCTGTTGTACTAAAGATGTTTTGTTGTTGTATTGTGCTATTTAAAATTATTTGATATTCATTCTTTAACTTGCAAAAGTCTAGCAAAATTATAGTAAAAGTAAAAGTTTCTAAGTATGTGCAATCTCTGTTCTACCAGTTCTATCTAGTTTCGAAAAATAACAGTGATATTTCTGACAAGCATTGTCACTGCAGCTCTAATTCTTGGGTATGTCCAAAAATAGCTTTAGCTGTCAGCCTTAAACCACAGGAAGCTCAATATTCTGACAATTAAACCAGCCAATTGACCTTTCTGAATTTGATAGTTTCCTACCTCTGTCTTGGAAGAAAACCTTTTGCAGTGCCATGTGACTCAATCATGCATGCTCTCTAAAAAAAAAAAACTCTCTAAAACTTTGTCATCTTTGTGTTTTTATATTTTGTATTTGAATGTTTATTACATCCATCTTTGTCAATTTAAAAAAAATTTGTGGTTGCATGTCTCATTGTCATATGTCTTTCATGTCGTTGAGTCAACCTGAGTCCTCCGGTCTCCTTTGTTTTCCTTGTTTCTTGGTTCAGACTGGTGTATATTTACAGCACTGTGTACTTATGCTACATGCTCATTATTCTTTCTGATCTCTCACAGGCACTGGCATCTCACAGAGTGTACCTCTTGACGGCTCGTGTTCCCGCTAAGGTAAGCATCACATTTAAACCTATTTGGTCCCAGTTTAAGTACTGTGTCTGTGGCTGACTGAGTTTAAAATATCAGCTATTTTGTAAGCGGAAAATTACATACTTTGTCCAATGCTTTTTATACCCCCAAATGCTGGTCTAATGTGTCACAGATGGGAATTCTTTTGCACATTGCGAGGTATTGAACATCTGTTGTCACATATAGCACCAAAACCACAGTATTTAACATACAGAGTAGTTCTTGGGCACATTTTTTTAAATTTGTACACAAGTACTACATGGAGTACAATGATAGCCTAAACTGCTGTGATTATGGTGACAGTTTTTCAGAATTTAGCTGAAACATTGGGTTCATGTGATCTCACAACATTCTTAACTTAACTGAGGTGGAGGGCAGGTCAGAATGCTCTGGTAAAAGTGTTATTTTCAAAGTGGTTGTCCTAGTTTGTGATTAATGCCTGTTTATTTACTGGTCCTATCCACATGAAACAAAAACTGGCACAAAGTTCAACATGTTTTCTGTCAGGAAATATGAACTAAGGCAGAAATGAGTGCTAAAAGTTACACTGGACTGAAGGATTGAATAAATGTGCTAGTTAACTGTACTGCTTCATTGGCTTTAATCCCCTGTGGCGTTAAACAGAAAAGTGAACGCAACGATCTAAATGAAAAAGTAATTTGCACAAGTGTAGAAGTCCACAATATCTTTTGTCTGTTTCACATTATTAAATTTGGTGCTGTGCCATTCAAACAGCTTCATTTCCAAGTCAATAACAGGCCCCTGGGGAAGTTTTAGGTGATTGATTAGAAGCTTAAAAGTGATTTATGGATTTATTGGAGGCCACAGAGAGTGCTCCACTGGCCCTCTTTCTCCTGTCACCAGTTTTCTATGTACTGAGTATGTTTGTTTAGCTGTGTTCAAGTGTTGTTAAGAAGAATCCCCTTGTGACTACAGTCAGATTAGCATCTGTCCTACCTCAGTGTGGCCTCTGTACTCTGCCAACCTCCTCTCTGCACTACCGTTTTATACTTGCCTTTTTTTGTTCATGGAATATTCCAGTTCTGAAAGATTTGTGAGCACAACCCATGTATCTTTCCCCATAATATTTCCTCTTTTGGCAGATTTACAGAACTCATGGTTTCTCCATTGCCTCAACTGAACCTATTTATATTGGTAGTTCATCTTCGGTCTCATGTTTATTGAAAAGTTCGGTTATGCTTAACCGTCATATTAACAAAAGACTCAATGGTTCTTGTGTCTTTATATAAACAGTATTAATAATCAGTAGTAATTTGTACACTCTTACCCCCTCTTTCTATATCCCTGCCCACTGCTCTGTACTTAAAGCTGTACTTTGTAACTTTTTGGTTGGGGGTTCATTACATGCTTGTTTCCATGGACATGTCATTGCTTTGCCTGGAATATTCCACAGTATGACATTAAACAACTCAATCTTACATTTATTAAATTACAAATGATTTTAAAGCTAAAAAATACCTAGAAAAACAGGCACTCCGACTGTGAGCAGGTGTCACCTCTCCACAGATCTGACCTGTAACTTGGTCTGGTTTGATCTCCGTGAAGATACAAAGGTTTAATACCATACTGTGAAACATTCCAGACAAAGCAAGCAATAATGTCTCTTCTTAAATGCCACATAACTTTTGTTTCAACAATAAAAACACAGAAATTAAAATGTATCAATGCCACACAGGGTCTGTCGTCTCCAATTTTGAACAGGAAGTCAATGGGCTATTTCTGTTATTAAGCTGTTTCAGATCAATATTGCTGTTTTACGATTAACAAAATGGAGATCTGTCTTCTTTATACAGGCTGACTGGACTGTACGTGTGAGCCATTGAACATAAACATGTGTAACTTTTTAAACAAACCAGAGCTGTAAATAGTGTCAATGTTGTAGTTTTAGGGGGAGCTTGTGGATTTTCTATTTGAAGTCTTGGCGTCAATAGCGGTAAACCTGCAAAATGTTTGTTTCTCTGTTCTCAGAAGCATGTGAATTCCCCCTCTAGCCTCTTGCACACATCTCAGTGGGTTTGTTCTTGATGGCTTGGCTCCGTTTGAGAAGCTGCAGGGCCTACAACCTGTCAGTGCAAACCCAAACACACGTTCATTCATCTCTATTGTTTTGTTTTAGTTTCAAGGATAGGGGATATATCTTTCAGTCCAGCAAAGTTTGGTCTCTTCGTTTGAAAGAATAAAGTGTTTATATCTAAAAGTGGGTCAAACTTGTGAATCATGCAAGGTCCTGGTTGCATTTCTCTCCTCCCAGTGTGAGTCTCAATGCTCAGCTTTATCAGCTCACTTATCGCCGCGGCTCTTTCCACTTAAACTACCATTTACTCACTATTCAAGCCTTATGTCCTGAATGACCCTGTGCTAGGAATTGACAATTTTCTTTACAAGAATGCTATGCCATTGGTATTACAAATATGGCGTAAACCATGCAGTGCAAAAATATGTAGTCTGTGAGTGGTAAGGAAATACAAATAATTACTGTACATCCTACAAATTTTAAATGACTTAAGCCTCTTTTCTAAACCATATGTACACAACACTCAGATGTTTAGGCCAGATTCCCATCCTACAAAGTGCCAAGTACATACAGCTGTGTCCGAAAAGTACACAGCAAGAAAATGGATCAGACCAAAGCAGGAATTGAATTGCCACCGTTTTATTTTTGTTAATCATTATATCTATGTCATTAATAAGAGCTTGACGGAAAAAAAAACTGAATTGTAAAATGATAATCTATGCTGCATTATTTTCCCACTCATCCCTTCTATTCATCAGTGTCTGTCATACTCTGAGTGACAGGCTGATTTAACCAATCATAGTGACGTATGAACTCCCTGAAGACACAAACACATCTACTTACCTAAACCAGGCATAAATCTGATTTGTAATGCAAATTAAATTGTGAGCTTAAATAAATAAACATGAATGCAGATGCAGAATGAGATCAAAACAAGCAAAGACTAACTGCAAATATAAGACACAGACACTCCAGTGTTCAAAATGCAATTCAATAATGAATGAAATCTTAGACTCTGCAGTCAAAGCTCTGCTCACAGACAAAGACCAAATGAGTGAGGGCAGTGACTACTACACACAAGTGCATAGACAGCCTGCTCTGAAGTCTGAGGCAGTCTGGAAGAACACAGCTCCACCTGCACCAGTCTGGCCCTGCTCCCTGGCCTGCCCCGAGGCTCTGTCTGAGGGAGCGCAGTGAGACAGAGGGTATATGTACAGTACAGCAGAGCGAGGGAGAGCATGCAATCTTTCCTCCTGTGTGAAAGGCTCTCCTCTCCTTTTTAGGTATGGAAAAGAAAGCAGCTGCTTTGTCCCAGAGCTCTTTGTCTTGAAATATCCACTCGATACAGAATTAGAAAGTGTGGTGCTGGCATTTTTCTGCTTGTGGTATACAGCACTATTATTAATTAAGCTATACAAAGTCAAAATAATGGATCAATACAAAGGAGGAGTATTACTGTGGTATGGAGTACTGGAATACTGATATCTGATCTTTTTCTTGCTGCTGTGGTCAATAACCAATATGATATCTATGTATATAGCAAGGCCCACAAATTCGTTTGATTATAATTGCAGATTTCATTGAAAATACATTTTTTGAGATATAAATTAATCTACATATACACAGACACATATTCACCCAATTTCTTTTCTAGATACATTTGAACTCACTACCCTAATGGAAAGAATAAACTGCGAAAGAATCATGGACATAGAGGGACTGAGGCAGCACACTGCAAAATATCACTGCCAGATATCAGCTACATTTTCAGAATCAGCTCGATATCTGGAAAGACTCTTCAAAGTACCCTTTGCCGATATATCGACCATCCTTGGTATCGCATGTGCTTATAGTATAATGTACTTCTGTTTGGCTTTACATGACATAGTGGATGAATCAGCAGAAGCCCAGACAGACCTTAGAAAAGGAAACAACTCTATTCTGTCCAATTATGAATAACAGACATTCCTGTCTGTGTTAGTCATTGTATGAGACCACTGACTTGAAAAGCTTTAGTCATATAAAGCAAACCATAATATTCGCTTTATTTCTTTCAGGTGGAGCACTCCTTTAACTATCTGGAGATTCTGGGGATTGTGTGTAATAAACCTACACAGGTACAAAACAACAGGCAACACTGAAATCATAACACGTTTTTCTGTTGATACAGCATGATTGGTAGCTGGTGTTTTACAAGCAAGATAACATTAGCTACAATACAGAAAAAAGCTTACAAAATATGCAAAATGATATCAGTATGATTAAAAAAAATGTGATTAGTTTATTACACATCAGTTTTTATTGTATCTGTACTATACTACACTATTTATCATCTCAGTATTTTTTGTTCTGATGGGTAGTTCTAATGCATATATTTAAATCCTAATTGTTGCAACATTAAACTTTCCTCTTTGTGGAGCAGATAAAGGTTCTCTAATCTCTTAACTATATGATCACATTTTCTTACAGTATAATAGATTTACACAGTTGTTTTATTAGGATTTCAATGGATAATAAAGACAGAAACAGACAAACTTGTAGTGATTAAATATCCCTTAATATTAAGCTCCAGTGTATTTTTGTATTGCACCGTAGCGTCCTGTCATTGACCATGATGTACCTTTTAAATATGATAATCCTCTGCTAACCACACTGTTCCTGCAGCTGAACCTCTTCACCACTTTTCACTACATGTCAGCCTATTACTTACTGTGTAGGATAGCCCTTTATCCTTAATAAACAGCAGCTGGGATTATGATAATTTTGGCCTATGGAGAAAACATATGTTACATCAGTATTTGCATAAGTAGCCTTTCATTGGCAAATGTCATTAAATTCTTACAATTTTTCAGATAACGATACAGGATATATATAATCAGGGTTTACCATTGCAGTACTGCTTTGACATTTAAAGAAGTTATGCAGTGTTTGAAGTAGTACTCAAGCAGTACCAGACTAGTACTGTGAGATATCATATGTTCAAGTACTAAAACTTTATTTGTATTGCAGCTGTCAATAGAGTATGAGCGTGGATCCTTTTCGCTGAAGCTCCTTTCAACAGAAGAGGTCAATGAAGTTGTGGCACACATTGGAAACTGTATGCAGAGGATATGTCCAGGTTTACCACCACCGTGAGTTCAAACCTCAAAATAGTTCAAAATTGTGTTAGCAACTTAAAGCTACCATCTGTAAATTTATTTCACCTGTTCCCTTCACTTGTCTTTAGTTTAAGCTCACCTGTGATCTTTGGTCTTCTGTCAGGCCCAAGCTGGCACACTATCAGACAGCAGTAACTCAGATAGCTTCTAGGGCTTTGTTAGAAAAGTACAGTGGTTTTCAAGTCAATTACCAGCCTCAACTCCAAACAAAGGCGTCCAGATTAAAACTTTTTTCACTGTTTTAGTATTGACAATAACAATAAAAAACGCGGTAGTCTTAACACAATGAGGGAGCATACATTAAGAATCAATTTGTAATAATGTATGCAGTCTTTTGTTTTAAATTTTTCTTTTACAGAAAAGTCATGAAGAAGCTGAGTATGGAGCCTCCGGACAGGCTGACCTCTTTACAAACACAGTGGGAAAACCACAAGCCTGCAGAACCTGGGCCCTGTGGTAGGAACAAACTACGTCACTATGATTTACACAACTGCTTACAGGAGATTTACTTTTTCAATGCCAAATTTCGTTCTGACATATGCTATCTTCCATAAATCTTTCATGGAGATTTTCTGCAGTAATCCTAGCCTTAATAAATATTGCTGCTTTTATGCAGGTGGCTTCTCTCAGATGTACCGATGTGTTTGTGACTGGCTTGGATTGCCTTACAGAGAAGAGGTGCAATGGGTCAGTGTTGTGTACATTATTATTATGCAGTATTATTATGTTTATTGGTATTGTATTGTAGTAGCTAATACAGTTTTTTGTTTCATGCAGGATGTAGACACCATCTATTTAACACAAGATTCTAGAGAACTCAACCTACAAGATTTCAACCATCTGGAAAACCGGTAAACTCCTACTTGTTCAAATCTGGATTTCAGATTTTTTTTTTCAGATTCTGGTCCAACAGTGTATATTTAGAGTTAAAAGGTTGTTTTGCTAAATTGAACTGAATTTTGTGCTTTTCCTCAGAGATCTGGTGGCTATAATCGCAGTGTTGGAGTTTAACCAGTGGTTTACCAAGCTATCCACCAAGGACTGTAAACTGGTCAGTCTGGTCATACAATCATTACACCGACATAATAGTGAATATTGAGTTTACATAGTAAGTGGTAGCAATTACCAGAATCACCTGTTAAGATAAACCTCCCTTTGCCCTTGCTAGTTAGGTAGACTATAATATAAGGCTAACTGTTCCACTCTCATCACAACTTATTGCTTGTAACTGTATATGCAAATGGCCTCCTCCTCTCCCTCCTTTGTGTCCATGCTGTGTGTCGATGGAGGATCAGTGCTGTGTTCTTGTGTGATAAGATTGTTAATCCGCCGCAAACAAAGAGGCACAGTGTCTCAGGCTGGTGCCCCCTGCAGATCTCCATTCCCCACTCTGTCTCAAGGCTTTGCCCAGTCGCACCAATTACCACACCAGACTTCACTGGTGCAAACAATTACCCAGCATTTTGGGCATTAGAATGGACATTTGCATATCAAATTATCAATCTTACAAAAAAGTGGTTTTAAAGAAATATTGAGTAGCCTGTGACATATGTAGTAAAACAAAACTGAATAGGTTGCAAGGGTGGATTAAAAAAAAAGTGTAATCCTCCAAACAAGTAGTCTCAATTTTTGTGTTTAATTTTACAGTCCATTAACCTTTTGTACTTTCACTATGGCATTTGGAGATCACATTTCAGATAGACTGCAAAGATATCGTCTGATTATCATTTTTGGAATAATAAAACAAATCACATTAGACACGACATAATCCTAGCTGGCCTTTGCAAACTGTCAATGTGCTAATGAGACTGCATAGATTTGTTATTGATCTTGTGCAAGTCGAAATAATAACAGCAAGAAGGCAGTGAACTAAAATAGTAAAACAGGTCTGTGGACAAAGCTGCCTTTATGTCAAAACAAGTCTGAAAGTGTCTGGAAAGATTTGATTTTAGGAGGAAAGCTGAAAAAAGAAGATAGTTTGACATTTTCCGGGTTTGGAAAAGAGTCTTGACTTTTCCACCACCAGATGTAAGCCGCCTGATGTTCCAGCCAAACCTATTGACTCACACAGTTCAACGGAAGGCCAGCAGTCACATAAGCTTTCATGTTAATACTAACATTTGGGTTTATGTTTAAAATGTCCATATGATTACTCTATTGACTATTGCAATTACTAAATGTATATTGTTTGGGTGAAAAATGTGTATCAGAAAACACAGGACAGTACTAAGCCTGGCCTAAAATGAACATTGGAGACCCCTTATACAACTTTCACTATAACAATACATTTGTGAATCCATACTTTATAATACAGACAAGTTAACTGCGGTCACTCCGGGCAAAGATTACAGTATAAGCTTCTCAATTTAGAGATAAGAAGTGTCTCTGGGCGATGATGAAGAGGATAATAAAAAGCGCACCCACATCTCAAGAGCCTTCATCATTATTCTGCCCATCTCCAGATCAATCAGCCTGTTTGTGTGGCTGTAATCACGATGCAGGGGAAGAAATGACAGAGGAGGAGCAGATGAGCAGTGGACAGCAGTGATGAGAGGACTTCCTGATTGCTCTTTATTCACAGTGAAAGAAGCTAACAGTGTCTTTTAGCTCAACGTCAGGCTCATAAAAGCACAGCAGGAGTGTATTTAAGAACAGCCAAATCATCCACATGGAGCCAGTCAGTGTCTCGTTCTCTAAACTACAGTGCCATGCAAGAGATGTGGTATAGTTGTGTGAGTTTTTTAGTCAAATGTTTCAACTATCAAAACATTTTTATTTTCATTTTCTAGTACATACAAATTACTTTTCCTATTGCAATTTTGTTAATGTTATTTTCTTATTTTAGCATGATACTTTATTGTTCCCCAAGGTAGCATTACTGTTTTATTGAGAAGATTTGAGCACAGGCTCTCTTACAGGGTGGCAAGAGTAATCCCAGTGGTATGGAAATTAAAATCTGAATCATCGCAATTAGAACATGTTGAATTATTTATGAAAAATAATATCCTCTGTAGCCTCCGTGGGGTCTTGTTATAAAACCTGACAACTTTGTAGTTTAAAATCGCACTTGCAGTATGTGTCAGAAAATATGATAGAGCTAAACGTTTCTATAAATATATCTAACCTTCATATTTACTTGAGTATTCCATGTATATTTTAGTATATACCCCTGTATCAAACATGGATTATTATGAAAGTGAAGTGCACTTTATCAGAATTTAAAGCTCATTGAGTCTTACCTTTATCATTATAATATAAAAGCAGTGCATTCACAGTCTGAATAACTTCTGTGCATTGTTTCTCCATTTCATCCCTGACTAACCCTAAAACTCCCCACTTGACATGATCAGTCCCAGCTCACTGCCCCACAAACATATTCCCTTTCTGTAAACACACAAACAACACTCTCTCTGTCTACTCTCCATTATGCCCTCCTCCCCTCCCTCTCTCTCCCCCTCTCTCTCCCTCCCCTCTCTCTCTCTCACTCCTTTCTCCTGGAGATAACAGTGAAGGACAATGTGGCCTGTCTTTTGTTGCACTGTCACTGCTGGTTGGTTAGTGAAAGGTTCCCCTATAGCGGAAATGCCAAATGCCTGAAATAACATCACTACAGAAGTCCAGCAGAGTTCAGTTGCCTGTTATAAAAGATATGACTGCAAAGTTGTAATATCTCTTCTGAACATAATTTTACCTTATCATGTGGTAATGTTATGTAACACAGGAGAGGCTATACAATAGGCTATGTCATCCTTAGTAAGCCTAATACAAAACAGTGTGAGGACTAAACTGGTGGGGACTTGCAAGCCGTGACTAGGACTCGAGTCAGACTTCAGTCACTGTTTTGACACTTGACTTGATAAAATGGACTAAGTAAAACTTGGGCCTTGACTTGAACTTGAAGGTCAATAAACTTGGGATGTGACTCGATCTTGAACCATGTGACTTGAGATGTCTTGATGCTTCTTCTCAAAATATGTTTTAGGAAATACTTTTCTCTTTACAGTGCATGCTGTGCTTAATTTAGCACAACTGGAGCATGTCCTTTCCACTTCTCTATTTGTTACATGTAACAATAACTGAAGTACTGTGGCATTGTAGTATAAAATGTCACAGTATTGCAGTACAATACAGTAAAGTACAGAGGGAACTACAGTCAGTTCAGATTACATTATAAAATAACTGCTATTAAAATATTCATCCCACCTCTGTGACTTAAATCAGACTTAAATTTAACCTCATTTTAATAATCCAGGTTAATTTTTTAAATTTTAATTTAGATTTGAACACCTTTTATTAGACTGAACTTGCTGCAGCAGAAACTTTTTATCCTAATGATATTTTATACTAAATGATACTTTTAAGTAGCTTATGTAACTTTTCTGTTGAAGTCTCCATGGAATATATAATAGCTATTTAGCAATAATCTGATGCAGATCTCTGTTTTTATACATTGTCCCTTCAAATAAAGACTAAACTGAACTTATTGCTTTGTCTGGAATGTTCCACACCACAGCATTAACCTTTTCTGTCTCCATGGAAACAAATATGTGGCACCACCAAGACAATTTACAGAGAGGCAGGTGGCACTCCGTGGCACATAAAAGTTATATAGTGTGCCTTTAAGATATACATCCATATTGCACTCTCACTGTGGGAAACAGTGAACTAGGTCAGTGAACATCTAGGTAGGGCGTCATCAAAACCGTTGAATATTTAATTTTGCCCAAAAGTGACTGAGCTGCTTTTACTTCCTCCTGTGCTGCTCTGCTCTTCATGGTCTTGACTTGTCACAAATGTACCCTGCTTCCCTTTCACTCCCTGCAGCTCAGGTTTAATTAGCATAAATGAGCACACTCTCAGGGTATCTTCACAGTTTTACCCAGAACTCTATCGGGACTCATTTAACCTAAAAGTATACCACTGAGTTTGCACATGACCTTGGATGTTTTCGCCGAAGCTTTGGCTGTTCCTGTTAAGTGGTGGTTTGGCCTTGGAGCTAAATCCGTTAATTTGAATATTTTTAAGCTTTTGATAAAAGTAATGAGCTAAACACTGTTACAGATCGAGACGAGAGTGAATGCTTTCCAAATTTCACATAATACTGAATTGCAAATTTTGAATAGGTTTTATATATTTTACTGTTAAGAGACTACAAACCTGTTTATAAGTTTTTAGGTTTGACTGACATGTATTTTTTGTTTTTTGAAGTCTGCAGATGTGTGTGAGGAGATCCTAAGAGTGGTATCAAGATCAAGTCGACTGGAAGAATTGGTTCTGGACAATGCAGGACTGAAAACGTATGTGAATGTGGGCCTGGGCTATAATCTTCTAGTTACAATACCAAAATTAATATACCATAAACAGATACAGAAACAAGAGAATTACAAATGATTTAATGTTTGCTTTATTGATATTGATTTGGGTTTGTTTTGAACCAAACAAAATTTATTGTCACATAGAGAGAGTGCCTGGTACACTGTATCAATTACATTTATTCTATAGCAATCGTAAATAATATAATACTGTATAATCAGAGCTATCTAAGTTACTGACAAGTGTTGTATGTACATGCTGTCTGATGCGTCTCATATCAATCCACAGAGATTTCGCCCAAAAGCTTGCTGCTGCCCTGGCGAGCAACCCCAGCTCAGGACTCACTACCATTAATCTTGCCAACAACCCTCTGGAGGATAGAGGTATGATGTACACTCTTATCTGCTGCAGTGTTTTTATCTGTGCTGTGGTGCCACTCTGGGCCATGTTACTCAAGACTAGAGTGTTTCTGTTGGCAGCCCACTTTGCTGAATGCTAAGAAATCATGCACTGGTATTTGGGAATACAAATAACTGAATGTGGTATTGTTATAGCCTATGAATTAGGTTATTCAAAAGGGATAGAATATGTAACTTTTCTGACGGGCGGTGTGTATGAGTGTTGGCAAAAGTGTTGAAAATCTGACACTGTTCAATACTAAAATTAGTATTGAAACTAGATACTAATTTGAGCAGATATAGATACTAAAAATAGTCACATTCACAGGACAGACATAACCTTTGCTGAATAGATTTAGAATGATCTTGAGCTGTAGCAGAAGTATAAATATAAGAGCAGATAGACTAGTATATGCCCATGGACCACTATGGATGAGAGAGGGATTGCATGTATATAAGGTCACATGGTAATATAAAAGACAGCACTATAATTTAATGTTGAAAATCACGTTCTTTTGTCTGCATTGTTTATAATTGTCATTGTGGTATTGGAATCAGTAGTGAATATCTAGTCTTATTCTTAAATATTGAAACCAATTACAACAAACTGCTATTTGTTGGATTTTGCACTAATTTTTTGCAATTATCTATCTTCTATTTAATTATTTTGATGTATATATTTTGTGCTTTCTATAATTACTTGAAAATACCTTTAAAAATCTAAATTAAAAAATCTACATTCTTAGTGTGAGCGTGCTTGCCTCTCCTCAGATCTCACCTGTAACTTGGCCTGGTGTAATCACCTGCTTGTTTGGAGATTAACAAGTCTGCTTGCTTGCTATACTGTGGAACATTTTAGGCATAGAACTAACATCTCTTTGGAGACAAGCAAGTGGCCGGCTGTTACAAAAAGTTACATATTGCGCCATTAAATATAATAAATCTGATGTAATGATGAAATCTGCTTGGTCACAGTTGGCGAAGTGCACAAAGCTGAATATTTTATGCCAAAATGTCGCAGTCTGTTCATGGTATGAATTAAAGATAGTCAATGCTCATATATTGAGTCAAATGCGGGCACCAGACCTGAATAGGAAATGATGTCCTTAGAAAAAAAAATCATTATAACTGTTGTGCTTATCTCCTTTTATTGCAATAACTGTTGTGTTTATCTCCTTTTATTGCAGGTATCTCATCTTTAGGTGCTCAGTTTGCCAAACTGCAAATGGGACTAAAACATTTAAACTTTTCTAAGACCTCACTATCACCCAAAGGTAAGAGCTTTTATGTTTATTGATCCAAAGATGCATGTTTAAGCAGTGTTAGTTTGAGCTTGCTTTGTATGTTTGTGGAATGTCTAATAGTTCTAGTTTGATAGAATTTTTCTGGCTCGACAGATCTCACTGTCTGTAGGGACTCTTTGTAAACGTGGGCCTATCTGTAAATCTACAAACAGCTCTGCTTTCCAAAGTCCACAACTGCCCTTCCTAAAATGAGCTCACTGCATTAAAGGGTCAATCTGTAATCCATATTCTAAAAGCCCACAAGTATCTACTGTATTAAGGGGATTGTCCAAGATGAATAATATTAATTGATTTTTATACAGTTCTCATCTAAGGCTATTTATTTGAAACTTTATAGAGGGATCTTATTTGCTCATTTCAGTCAAGCGTTTCCTCACATGTCTTGGAGCAGTCATGCCAAATCGGAGCAGTAGAAGAGGTGCATGTGATTGCCATGTGAATGACTGTTTGAGCGAATACTTCCTAACTCGCATTCCTTCATTCCTTCTCAACCGACACTTAACGCATTTCTGTTGACTATAAATACAAACCCAATTTGAAAAGAGCTGGAACAAGATGCTGTGATGTATAAATTGGAAAAAACAAAACCAAAAAAAAAACACTTAACTGTATCTACAGTGGACCATTATGTACATTGAAGCCAAAATTATTGAACCTTGCATTTCACTCAAAAATGATCACATTTTATTCTCAATGTGCTATCTATAAATATATATTTATAAATGTGAGATTTGCACTTAGATTTCATGATGTTGAATTCCATGTTATTCAATCAGTCCAAGTAAGAGTTGCATTTCTATATATTTTTACAACATTTAATACAACAATACACTATCACATATGGAGTCTAGTATTACATTACTTTCATTTTCTGACTGGGCATTCTGATGGTGACCCGGGCCGTTTTCAGCTACTTCATTTCCTCTGCTATTTCCTTCAATATGCTGTCAAAACACGGACTGGAGATGGAAGGGTGGTGATAGCGCTGACTCTGCCCCTCTTTGTGTTTGTGTTCAGGGGTGAACAGCCTTTGCCAGTCCCTCAGTGCCAACCCGTCCATCCCCGGCAGCCTGCTCCATCTGGACCTCTCAGGGAACATGCTAAGAGGAGATGACATGCAGGTAAAGGGGCTGCAAAGGCTGATCAGATCTACTGGGACAAATCAATTGTTGGAATTAGATGCATTTAATGTAATAATCCGTACATCTTCATCTGAGCACTAGTTAAGGATCTGTACCTAATTTTTATCTAATGATATTGCCTCTACATTTTCCAAGGCATGTTTGACCTTTAAGGAAGCAAAAGTCAGGGCCAGACATTTAATCAGAGATGTTGTTAGATGATAACCATGTGGAAACAATTGCATGTGACCGTGCTAGACATGCCCCACTCTCACTCTGATGTGAACCGTTTTAGAGAAACAATTATGTGGGCGGGGCCAACAGTTCATCCTGAAACATGTTTTCACTCAGTGGCTTAAATTGGATACAGGCCCTGTAAATCATATCAAGAGGTGTTCAATTAGCATGCCTTTTTTATCATGTGATTTAAAATATCTGTTTATTAATGGCAATGACAAATAAGCTTGAAAATAAAAAAAACAATCAGCTAAATTGAGCACTAAAACAATCAGTAATGACTAGGGATGTAACAATAACCAAAATATCGTGATATTTTATCATCAAAAGTCTCACAATAATATTGTGGGCTGTCACAATATATCAAATACAAGTTCCTTTGCTTAAATGCATGGATTTATAGTAGTAACAGCTGATAAACATCAGAAACTACATATCCCATGATTCATTTCAGTGCAGATAACATGAAGAAATGTTTTTTACTTGAATTCTTGGGATTATGATGGAAATAATTCACACCGAAATCTTGTCAAGGTATTTTAAAAGGTATTTTATATTTGCCTCCCCAAAATATTACAATAAATATCATACTGTTAGATGCATATCGTGATAATATCGTACCGAGAGAGCTGGATATTGTTACATCTCTAGTAATGACAGAACTAGCAGGTATCAAACAGCCTCTGGACATGGTTAACTGATGGCACAAATTGATTAGAATAGGACATGTCAGCATTTGTGTGGGGCGCGTCCTGCTGGCTCATTACTAATCACTGGACATGCTGCACTGTAGGAGACTATTGACTTTTGAGAGCCTGAATACTGAGAATATGAGAATATAGGTTGGAATCATATCAGTCAGATTACAGCTCATAATGAGCTTTATTTTAATAACTGTTATTACATCAGACAATATTCGGACTGTTGATGGGAAAATATCTTCATCAATGCCCCTATCTTATATTTTGTGATGTTTTTAAATGTGTAGTGCATCTAAGCAGAACTATTGAGCAGAAATGTAATGGCCATGCTGTTTCATCCACCCCCTTTCACAAATTTACCATAGGATGTTTAGTATTTCATAGTGAGATAAGATATAGGACTACCTGTATAAGTCAGAAAAAGAGCTGAAAATGAATAATGCTGCATCCTTAAGGTGAATCAAAATTGTATGTGTTTTACAGCATTTCTACCATTTTCTGGCTCAACCAAACAGCTTGTCAACCCTTGATTTATCCAACACTGACTGCTCCTTGGATCAGGTAACACATAAAGCATTACTGTCAAATCAAACAACATAACTGATTGCTTATCCAGTAGCAACCCTTCATAATAATTGTATTTTGCAAACATGAAATTGCTGCTTAGTTGACTTTTCGAGATAAACATGTGGTTTAATATATCATACGTGTTCCAACAAATGTAATTCAGTTATTAGCTCTATGCACCAAGTGGCCTGAATACTGTATGTGATGTATTGATGTGAGCCTTGCAAGCCAAATCCATGCATTGATCGCTTTGAGATGTAGCCAGCTGTCAGCTTGTCGCTGACGATATTGATTAGCCTTTAAATCATATTCGGTCACACTAGCGCAGGTTTGTGTTTGACTAACATGATGCTGGCTGCTGTGTTGCCAGGTTTGCTCCGCTCTGTTGCGAGGATCAGGCCAACATCTCTCCGTGCTCAATGTGTCAAAAAGTGTCTTCGCCCACAGGTATGGCAATGCAATCTTGGTTTAATATAGTATACATGAAAGCACTTAAGATCATGCAGTGGAATAAATTTGAGTCCGAGTACACACCTGGCCTCTTTCATGTTCTGTCTGGATATATTTATCATGATCAAAATTAGTATGCATGTGGAATAATTTAGACATACAGTGAATCAATTAATCAAATGTGCATCTGTTTACTTTACAGATACACGTTTAAGCTAAAAAAAAAAAAAAAAAAAAAAGAATTTAGACTGTTTATGAACTCTGTTGTGTGACTTTTTAGCTAAAAGATCGTCTAATATAATTTTATTGCTCTAAAAAAAAACTATTATACAACAGTCTTTCACTCATATGGACTTAATAAGCTTAATGTGCACAGACAAAAGTGCATTGTAATTGCTGATGTCTCATTCAAAGAGTCATGTGAACAGTTAGTGTGCCACCTACTGGTAAAGTTTGTATTGTCAGCAGGAGAGTGGTAAACGCTGTGTGATAAAAGGTACATGATAATTATCTGGTACATCATATTTTGGAGTAGATAGTGCGCCCCCTGCTGTTTATATATTTGAATGCATTCTTTTGTTAACCTGTATATATAATTTTTGTAGTTTAATTTATTGGAAATGTCAGTTATGTCTAAAACAGTCCTTTACAAGCATGCTTAGATCTTTACAAGCTTTACAAAGATGTTTACAAAGATGTCTTTATCGAAAGAAAAATGGTCTTATGAGAAGAAAATGTCTTAATGTTAATGTTAATGTCTTTCATAAACATCAATCATATGTTGCTTTTCTAACACAGTTACAACAATATTAAGACCGTGTTTCATTTCCGTCTCTTTTTCAGGAAGGGCAAAGAGGTGCCACCGTCATTTAAACACTTCTTCAGCAGTGCCATGTCTCTCAGCTCTGTCAACGTGTCAGGAACCAAGCTGCCTCCAGAAGCCCTCAAGTGAGAGACCACTCTTTCATGTGCTGCCAATAATTGCTAGACTCCAAATAATTTGCATTTTTCAAGTTCATGAGCAAGCTATCTTTTCTGTGTATTTTAGAGCGCTGCTTTTAGGGCTGGCTAGCAATGCCAATGTCACAGATGTATCGCTAGACCTCAGCTGCTGTGAGGTAAGTAAATCCCAAATTAACGTGCATTTGATATAGTGTTAATCTAATTGAATTTTTTTTTTCCTTTGTAATACATTAAAACCTTAAATCATGCTGTCAGTATTTTGCACCCATTATACTTGAACTGTAGGTGCGTAGTGATGCATGCTAGCCAAAGTGTGTGGGTGTGTTTTTATAAATTAAATTGAAAACTAATGTAATACAATTAGCTTTTGGGATCCACTCCAATCCATTTGACAGGCCACTGACACTGCTAACAGCCTGTATATTAATGGAGAAGTTGGCAGGATAAGACAGAAGGGAGGAATTAAGGAGAGAAAACCTGATTTGAAGTCTTATCTTTAATTGTTTCATCACAACTCACCCACAAACATGCACAAGGCATCGCCATCTCCGCCCTTCACTCCAACCTAAAACGACAGCTTGTTATGCATTCAATGGGATTGCTAAAGATAACGCATGAATACAAATTAGACAGGAAATTCAGTCCCAGATTTCCCATAGAAATCTTCCCAGATTTAATGAACCGTTTCGTGGAGGCAACCCAAAAACTGCTCCACTTGGGCTGTCAGAATCACAATGAGAGCTATGTCGTCCCTGTAGCGTCATACAAATGTTAGTGCTCTGGTAAATGCATGTTTGTGTATGATCATTAAGCATCTGTGTTTACTGTCTATAATTGCGGTCTTGGCCCTCACTTCCTGTTTTTTACCCACAATGCCCCTGTAAGCTTGGCCATTGTGTAAGTACTGAGCCCCTTTCTCTAAATAATTAACACCCCATTCCTTCATTATTGTTTCTTGGTGTAGCAGATGCTTAATCATCCATTGGTCATTTTTTCCTATAGTTTTATGATTTTATGCTCACACCGCATTGCCATACATTCAAGTTACATACTTAGCTGCGTAGTAGTTTATCCAGTCTATTGCATGCTCTTTATCATTTTCTATGGTCCTAAATCTTTACTTTATTACTTGTGAATTCATAATGCGTCAGTGAATCATTATTTTTCACTCTTTGTCCTCATAGTTGCGGTCTGGAGGTTCTCAAATCCTTGAAAGTTGCATTGCAGAAATCCCAAATATCTCCAGCCTGGATATTTCTGATAATGGTAACTATTTATTGCACCCTAAATAAAACCATAATACTTTGTTAGTCTTATTCTGTTATTTTCTTATGACATCTAGGCCTAGACTCAGACCTGTCCACTCTTCTTGTCTGGTTGGCTAAGAATCGCTCCATCCGGCACTTATCTTTAGGAAAGAACTTCAACAATATCAAATCAAAGTAAACAATCTAGTCTTAATTATATGTTTAAAAGCAATATACTGTAACATTTTTTTTAAAGATTTTATATTTATTTCTCTTTCCAGAAACTTGGCCCCAGTGCTGGATAGTCTGGTACATATGATTCAGGAGGAGGAGTCGGTGAGTTTACTTTTAATGTATTTTCAGCCACACCATTTCTATCTATTAATAAGTAGGCTACCTCTCCAGTGGGGGGCAGTGTCACTTCAGTAAAAATACCCATAACAATGACACACAGCTACACAGGATCTTGCCTCCTTTTTTGGCACTACTTTCTCATTAGGTTAAGCAGTATTTTCATAATATAATGAATCAACCAAATTGATTCTCAAAATGCCTGCTATTTTTTTTTCTTTTATACATCTTATAATATTGACATCTTTATCAGGTTAGTTTAATCATCCCCTTGTGGCCTCATGGCATCTAGTCTCTCTTACGCCTCAATCCATTTTCTGTTTTTATCAGTGTCTTCTGTGGGGGAACTGTGACACATGTTCCCTGGTGCATGGCCTCCCTCTTCTCCCATAGGATTAAAATGGCCAAATTGATGATCCTATTGAACCTCTCTGTACCAGATCGGTCTCTGGATTCTTTTCCTTTATCTGTGTGTGAGCCGGTTATCAGGCTGTGCAGATGCAACCACACATTGAAAGTAAAGAGAGGGTGAAAGTTGATGGATTGCTTTTGACGTGTTCATGGGTTAAATGAGCCAGTAGATGTTACCAAAGGTGTGAAAAAAGCGTTTTACACAGTTAAGCTTCTACTCAAACTCATAACAAACCAAAAATAATCTGAAGAATTGTTCTTTTCTTTTGATTCTGGTAAAATGTCCTTTTTAACACAAAAACATTTAGATAAAAACTTTTATCCAGCCGTTAAATGTCTTAGCAGCTGGATACCGAAAAGCTTTTACTTTCATAAATATTGGAGAATTGTTTATAATGATCATGATGAACCTTTACTGTTGTCCCACTCCCCAGGCCCTCACCTCTCTTTCTCTAGCTGACTCCAAACTCAAAAGTGACCTGACCATTGTCCTGAATGCACTGGGCAGCAACACCACACTCACCAAGCTAGACATCAGTGGGAATGCCATGGGTGACATGGGAGCCAAGATGTTGGCAAAGGCACTGCAAATCAACTCTAAACTCAGGTGAAAACTTTGCAGTATTTTGACATTTCTGCTGTAGTTAAAAATAAAAATAAAACACTAAAATGCTCATATTTGCTGTTACATTATATTCAGCCTGACCTACTCTTTTTGCACAGGTCTGTGATCTGGGACAGGAACAACACCAGTCCTCAAGGTCTGCAGGATGTAGCGGCTGCTTTGGAAAAGTAAGTTACACTTGTCAAATATCTTTTTGATTTCCCTTTATGGTTCAAGTCATAATATCAGTCATAATATCCATTGTTGCAACCTTAGTGTGAGCGTTGTAGCATACAAGACAGTTTGTGCTGAGCATCAAGAAACCTGGAGATGCGTTCAATATTAAAAGAGCGGAGCAGATCAGAGGATGACCCAGGAGACCAAACAACTGACACAGAGACTATAACAACAAAGAGAAGCTGAAATGAATAGAACCGCTGACAAAGGAAAGCAGAAGGCACAAACACAGTCTGACTGATATTATTTCTGATGATTTCTATCTCAGTTTGGTTTGTGGGAAATGACACCAGCATCAAACTGAATTGGTTTCCAGGGCTCATCTGTACATGCACCTTTCTCATCTTCTGTTTATCATATTCAGCCTGGAGCATATTCTACCGAGTCTTTATATTGTATTATTGAATAAGCAGTTTTCATTTCTCTTGTTACTTGTTTCTAAAAGTGATTTTGTCAATCTGCTGTTTAATTTTATTATTCATGAATTCATTTCTTCAGTATTTTTCCATGTTATTCCTCTTTTCTTTTGTAGTATTGTGGTCATATTAGAATAGGTTTCAACATGTACTGTTTACAAAATCAAAACCAACCTTCAGCACCCTCTCAGACTTCTCATAAATATGTATTATGTGGGGAAACCTCTATTACAGTCGCTGTAACCTTTGTAAAAACCAGGACCTTCGAAGTGAGAACCGGAGCAACTCAAGATGGACAGAATAACATGAATTTCTAAACATCTTTTATTCTATGGAATACAATTAGTAATGTTTATGAAATGCAGATTCAGGTAATTGGAGGAGGTATGTTCATTGTTACAATAATGTCCTGGCTTTAATCTTTCAGAAACTTCACAATTCGATTCATGCCCATCCCCATCATTGATGCCTCCCAGGCTTTGAAGGCGAATCCAGAAAAAACAGAGGACGCCTTACTAAAGGTGTGTTAGCAGGTCCCTATCTCACATATTATGTACTCTGGATTTTGTGGGCTCGAAAGTATGTGTTATGGCAGGGGGAATCAATCACTCAATCAGTGTATTATCCTTTGTGGTTAGATTGAAAATTACCTGTACAGGAACCATGAAACCAGGAAATACTTACAAGAACAGGCTTATCGTCTTCAACAGGGCATTGTGACCACAACCACACAAACGGTTTGTTTACAAATGTTAGTCAAGGATAAGTAAACTTCAATATATTAAACAGCACCAAATAATTATTGTGTTACTTTTTTCAACTAGGTGATTGATAGAATATGTGTAAAGGTTCAAGACCATTTGAACTCCTTGAGAAACTCTGAAGCAGATGCAATAGTGGAAGATGTGAAATCTGCTGAAAACCTCATTAAGGATGCTAGAAATTCAAAAACCGTAAGCAAGATATTTATTTGAAAATTGAATCTGTCAATCCACATCCCCTCACCTTTGCTGTGATAAATGTTTATTTGTCTGTGTCTCTGTAGTTGCTCCCCAACCTGTACCACCCTTGCTGAAACTGGAGTTACATCTTCTAATAATGTTCCATTATTGTTGCATTCCAACTTTTATGCTTACAGTAACGTCTCTGTTCAACAAATGCAATTACAGACTCCAATGTATAATGTTGAATGTGATTTGTTCAGCAATCTGAAAAACAAAATGATGTCAGATTGTCACAGGAGTTGACTAGTTATCCTATCTGTCTTGAAATTGAGTGAGTCATTGAGATCATCATTTTTTGATCAAGAAGGATCATCAGAAATACACTGGTAAATATATCTTTGTGTTTTATATGCTTGACCAAATGTTTTTTAATCTTGTTTTTCTCAGGCGGACCATCTGGTACGGAGAGGTCGTCCATTGGTGCAGCAGGAGTCCGTGGATCTTGACGTTCCAGAGGAGAAAATCCCTAAACGTGCCTCCACTGAGATTTTGGAGGGGGAAAGACTGGATGACTTGGAAACCTGCATGGTAAGCATTTTTATTAGATTTAGTTAGGTGTCAAAATATACCTGAATGGGTAATAAGCGATCTGAAGGGTTTTTATTTTGTTTTTAAAATTTGGTTTATTTAATTTTGGATTTTGTTATTTAAAGACTTACTTAAACCTCTTATGAAAATGCAGACTTCTTTTCTCTCTTGTATGATTATACCTGTTATGTTTTATTTTCCTTTACTTTTCTTTTATACCTACTTTGCTCCTCGGAGACTCTTTGCTGTACCAGTGTAAGTGATTCTGCACTGTCGCTAATTCTCTTCAAATTCACTGCTTTTTCACTGGCTCTGCTTAATTTACTATACTTTGTGCTTGGTAATAGTCACATTGAATCTGACCTAAATCTAAAAATGCACATAGCACAAGTATAGTAATAATATGAGGCTTTTAGCTGTCCATCAGTGCACCGTGTTAACCGGGTTGTCTTTGCATATCACTGCTTTTGGCTTGAGCTGCCTTGTCTCTTGGTACATTAGCAAGTACCAAATGCCAAAAAGGAAAAATTTCATTACTGACAATTTGTAAACATTGTTACATATGTACTTTTCAGAACAGTAATTTGTTAATATGAAAATGATTTTTATTTAGATGACTCCAAAATCCAAGAGGAAAAGCATCCATAGTAGAATGCTCCGGCCAGTGTCTCGTGCCTTTGGTAAGTCATATGTCATGCCTAATTAGCTGATTAAACCCTTAAATAATTTAAAATGTAAAATTAAGTATCAATGATGGTTAAATTTAACAATATGTTTTTGTTGTTTTTCCAGAGATGGAGTTTGACCTGGACAAAGCTCTGGAGGATGTTCCTGTTCATGTAGAAGACTCCACAGTGTCTCAGCCCACGCCTGCTTCTGCCCCATCCAAACAGGAGCAGAGGTCTTCAGGGGGAATGATGACCCTCCCATCTGAGGAGGAGAAGAAACTACAACATTTCACGAAACTCCGGCCACGCAGGAACAAGAAAACACACTCCAGCAAAGTACCAGTATGTTCAAACTGTGCAAAAACTAAACAAAATGTACAGTGTTTGATGTGATTTAACATTTGTGATCTACAGGCATTCAGCAGTACATCATCCCAGGATGGAGAGCAGAACGGGCTTATGGGACGAGTGGATGAAGGTGTGGATGAGTTCTTCTCTAAAAAAGTCACCAAACTGGATTCAAAGTAAGTACTAACTCTTATACCAACTAATATGCAGTCATTAGAGTTTGTACTTATTTCACAAACTGTTCTGTCATAGACGTTCCTCAAAGAGTTCTGAATCTCATGACGGAGAGAAGAAAAAGAAGGGAGGTTTTCTGAACCTCATCAAGCGATCCTCCAAAGACAAACTAGACAAATCAGACAAATTGGACAAATCAGACAAGTCAGAGAAGAACCATCCTGTTGCTATATCCACCACAACATCCTCCTCCAGTATCCCAGAAGAGCCCTCCTCACCTAAGGTGGCACTAAGGAGTCCAGCACATGAGCCAAAGTCTCGGTATTGACTTTTTGGTTTGTTTTAGTTTTTTAGGATTTGTCAGAAAACATAACAATCTTGTACAGATATATAAAAAGATAGATATATAATAAAAAGTGTATTTTTAAACCAACCAGTTTAAGTAAGACATCTGTTTTCGTTCAGGGACACGTCCAGTCGTTCCCAGCCCACAGACTACAGCAGCAGCTCGGATAGATCAGAAGACTTAAGGACCCCAGACTCAATGGATGAGCCGTGGGAGGGGTCAGACGGGCGAGGCAGTCCCCAGGGAGGGAAGAGGCATCCTGGGGTGCAGATGATTGGCGGTGGGCTCCTAGCTGAGATGAAGGCCAAACATGAGAGGAGAGTTCATAAGGTAAAAACAACAACAGATATTCAAATGGAATAGTAGTTAAATCAAGTTAGTTTTGTTCAGTGTTTGGTGACTGCAGTTGTGAGAGCAGAGCCCATTGTCAGCCTGTCAACAAAAACACATTACTCTTAAACCGCAGACTGCAGTGGTGAATTTGAAAGGGATCAGAGGACAAAAAGCTTTCTATAGTAGGTATAGGTATCGTCAGGGTCAAGTAAAATATGGGTTACATTCGGTTAGCATTCTCGCACTAACATGAAGTATGGCAAAAACACCCTCTCTTCAGAACAATAGTCATTAAATTCTTATTGTGTGATGACGCCCTCTTCTGGGTGTATTAGGAACAGCATTGTGTGTTAAGTAATATGCAGCTGAACTTAAGTTATAACTGACCATTATCATGGTGATTGTCATCACATATATTATACTACATATTTACATAAAAACACATATATGTTCAGATGTTTTTCATCATTTAAATGCATCTGTTTCTCCATTACTTTCCACAGTCTTCCAGCCCAGACAGACCTGAGAGCAATACAACAGGTAACACATTTTTATCTTTCTCAAAATTTAATTTAGTGGAATAATACATGTTGTAAATATAAATCATAGTCTTATGTCAATAAAGAATCATTTTGCAAAGAAAAGTTGAAAAATATGTTGAAAGTTACTGGAAGTATAGTTCTAAATCATACAGATGGCATCACACTTGAGAGATTTCTATCCAGAAATTAGGCACAATTTAGACACAAGTAACACATTTGTTCTGATACTGTAAACATTATTTTAACAAATTAAAGGTGCTTTCTTATATTTTTGTTTGTCAAATAATAATTTCTGTGTACATTAGAGGAGTTTTGGCCCAGTGTACAACATCTTAACTGTGTTTTAATGAGATAAATAGTGTAACATATGTCATGGAAACTTTAATCTTCAGCTCCACTCAGTTACATTCAGTTTGGATTTCACCAACACCCCAATCTTACGTTTGTTTACAGCTAAGCCACAGCCCCCCACTCCTGAAAACCGATCTCCCAGCAGTCCCATGAGTAAACCTGACTTTTCCACAGCCCTCCCAGAAAAGACCCCCGCTCATGGTGAAAACAAACCTGAAACAGCTCTTCGTGTCAGGGCTGCATCATCGTCTGGTCCCCCTGGAGGACCCGTTAGTCCTAAACCTCAAGTCCCACCGGGGGCTAAACCTGCTCTGGCTGCACGGCCCACAATCCCACAGAAACCAAGAACAACCAGTACCAGCAAGAGCATAGGTATAAAATGTACAATGTTGACTGCTTCTGTCTTGTCCAAAATGTTTTAACTAATTTTATGTATTTATCATTAGATGATAGCTCAGATTCTCCAAGTAGTGCATCTCCTAAAACTAACAGTCGACCTTCAACACTGAAAAAAGCCCAATCAGAAAAGGACAAAGATGGACAGAGCAATAAAAGCTCCAAGGAAGGTTGGTTCAAGTTACCTATAATTTCTTTGCTATGTTGCACTTTTAACTTTTTTGGCCACCTGCTTGTCTCATAGAAATATTGTTTTGCCTGGACTTTTCCACAGTATGGCATTAAATATAACTATCTAGCATTAATTTCATCACATGTATTTTTCTTGCTGAAAATACCTTGAAAAACATGCCATTACTGTCACTGTGAGCATGGTCACCTCTCCACAGATCTGACCTGTAACATGTCCTGGTGGCTACCTACCTTCTTGTCTCTGTGGATGTTAAATAGCATAGATACTCGACTAAGTAAAAACATCTTCATGGAGACAAGAAATGTTACACAGTGTACATTTGTTAGATTTTAGTCAAAATTTTTATCATGAAAATTACTCTTTATTTTCTCTTTATTTATTTTTTTAAAGCCAATTGTGGTGATCTTTTTTTATGTCTAGTAAAGCCACCATTTGAGACTCTTCAACGCCCCAGCCAGACTAACTCAGAGGAGCATGGTCCTCTCAAACCCAAGGAGCTCTCTTCAAATGCCAAGGACAAAGGGGCAAAGAAACCAGGCTCTGGAGAAGAAGCGGACAATGAAATTATTTTGATCTAACTGACAGACTTTCACTGTTGGGCCTCAGATGTTCTTCCAGCAGACAAACAATTGTCTTTTCACCTTTACCCGGGGTTACACGGTACAAGCATAAAGTCATGTTCGGGGGAGGATCACCTTTGATATTAACCAACCATTGCCTAGTGAACCAAACTGCATAAACTGCCATCAGAGCTTCCTTGAATTTACTGTGTAAAAATATCATGCCTCAAATACTATGTCAGAAATTCATTTAAGTAAAAATTCAGCTTCATACACAGTTTTGAGAGCAGATGATGAATCAAAAGGCATTACACATTAATGATTTTCAGTGCAGATCTTACACCACATTGTTGTACTAATCTTAATCTAAATGCCTTTCTGCTGTGTTCTAGTAGCTTGCTCCCAGGGACCAACCACATCACTGTCACAGTACTGTATTTCCATATACTAATGCACTAGACCCCTGTAACAGTTGTCTCTGTTTCTAATACTTTGTCACATTAATTTATTGTGTACAGATATTTCTTTATTATGTTTTTTCAGTTTTTTGGTTTATCATTATAATTGTCTGTTCTTTGGGTTATTCAATACCCTACCAATATGCAATTTATATTTGTTACAGAAGAACACAGGCTTTGCTGAGCCTTTCAGCCCACTTTCCACAAAGTGTAGTAAGTCATTATTTAGTTGACTTTCTTTTGTAGCTAAATATCTGGAGCTGGATGGGCCTAATGACGTGTCTGCTTTATGAGCACTACAATGTACAAACTTAAGCAATATCAAATCATGTAAGGCGTAGCACTGTTACTAATATTATCACTGTGGAGATCTGATTTAACAGTGTCATTTTGTCACTGTGTCATAAACGTTAACATGCTCTTAAAGATTGGAACAGGAAATTACCATTCTGGTGTTTCTGTGTAAGCTAGTCCAGTAAATGCAGAAGCAGACTCATTGTTAAAATGTTTGTTTGTTGTTTGTTTAAAAGCAGGACACTGAGGGAATTCCAGCCTAAAACCACACTCCACTTTTCCTCCTCAATACTTCAGGGATGTCTTTTGAATACAGAATCAAACTTTTCTCTATGGTCTATTTTCATGAGCTAAAAATCAACAAAGATGTCACTAACTTTTCTCTGGTGATACCCTACACGCTGCTGCGGTCTGCTCCCAGTATTGTATAGCAAATTGGATAAACCTTGCAGCTTTTACACTTCTTCAGGAGCAAAGGTCTGACTGTTGCACCTTCAGCTATGCTATGTTCTGAATGTTTTTCTATGACATCATAAAATTTAGTGTTTAGGTTGCGAACAGTACTGTGCCGTTAATCTATCAACAATTGTTCTGTAATGGCAATGATAATATATTTGCACCAAATGTTTGGGATAATTTGAAATATCACACTTATTTGCTCCTCTTCTTCTCCAGAGGAGCAGGTTATGTTTCTGTCTGAATGATCATGTTTAACTTCAGAAAGAGCACCTTTTTTCCTGTTGGTCAGTGTTTGGAGTGGAGCTGAGGAAAAGCTCCGTAGCATTGCATCCTCTTGTGTGTGACTGCATGACTGTCTTTGTATATATGTGCTTCATCTGTTGGTTTGTATATGGGGTGTCTGCCATGTGGACATCCCAGGTGCCTACCCCAGTGTAAGTGCTAATTGTCTCATTGGTATTAAGTACCAAAATTTATGGATTTGTAATATAATTTAGAATTCAAAAAGGAGACCGTCGGTCCATGGTTGTTTTCTCCTTATTGTGTACATTGTGTTTATAAATTCTGAAATTAATTAACTGTATGTTTTGTTGGTGAATTCAATGATTAATGTATTGTTGCTTTTGTTAAGTAAATAATGCTAATGTCTTTGTTTTTCCTTGAGTGGAAAAAATGTGTTGCTCATGATGAGTCTCAATGAGTTTTATTTTGTCTTAGACTAATGTTCCACTAAGTCACTCTGCTGTTCACATCTTTTGTGCAAATCTTATTAATTATTATTAAATTACTTTTACAAGCTTTAAACTGTGTATTGGTCTTCAAATGTCATAAATGACATGTTGTAACCACTAGAGGGCATATTTTCTGATCTGTGTGACAGCCTGGTTTTGTCCCGGGGGCGGGGTTTATACAGTGAGAATAAATGTGCGCCTCAGACACTGTCAGTTTGTCAAATTCTCTGCAGTTGTTCATGTTTCAGACTTGATTCTCCAAACAGACAAGCACAATGGACTCTGGCTTTGATAACCTGGATGCTGCTGGTTTTCTGGAAATCTGGCAACACTTTGATGCTGATGGTGAGGACATTTCCCATATTCCTCTTTAAAAAAATAAATAAATAATTAAACATTTTATGTTTGATTTTGATTTTGTTTGCCATTCACATGTTTGTTTGTTTTTAATATATCAGATAATGGCTACATTGAGGGCAAAGAGCTTGATGACTTTTTCCGTCACATGATGAAAAGACTGGGTCCACAGGTAAGTTGATTTAAAATTCACATTTTCCAAGGTTAACTTCTTAAAAATATCTTTCTTCATTAATTTATTATTCTGGTTGTGTTGTTTGGACTGACAAACTTTAAGGATGGGTCTTGCTTTTATGCACCCTCCATGTGTCTCTCCTGTTGGGTGGAGACCAGGATGATGTTATCTGTCTAATTGAGGAGGTTGAAGCCTGTCTGTAAACAGGGAGGCAAAAGCTGTTAATCTGGTTACATATTGACCAAACATGTGATAAACGTCTGTAGATGTGTCTGCTAATGGTAAGGATGAATCGTGTGTTTGAACACTTTGTGGGCAACTACACCTGGAGCAGTACTATTAAATTTTCCCTGCCCCCTGATTTACTAATGGGGCTTTTAGCAAACACAGTGGGCTATAGGTCCCCTGATAAATGCATCAACAGATTTCTAACCCACTTGTTTTGTAAATACATTTGTTGTTGTTTGTTGTGATTGAATCTTCTTTCAAAACACTTTTTTTCTTGGATAGATTTTTAATAATCCCTTACCAATGATTAAATGATATGTCTATGCAAAATTGTAAAACTCATTCACCATAAGTATTATTATTGACTGTATGGTTATCGCTTATTATTGCTAATTTTTATGTTTAAAACATTGTGTGTCTAAGATGAGGTCTAAATGCCTCGAATCTATTTCTGATCTGCACAGAAAACACAGTTGTCTTTGGATAATGAGCTATGCCATGGGACCTGACAGTCTGCAGCCAAAGCACCACATGTTAAGTTATAATAATTAACTTTGATCGATCAGTTTCTATAGTTACAGTACATGGAGATGGTGTAAAGTGATTTAGCTCCGTTAAGCATATGCATACTTTTATTACAAAGTACAAATTGCAGATTTTGTGTGCTTTATTCATCAAAAACATCAACAAGAAAAGTATTTTATTCCCAACCAAGGTAAGGTTTCAGTCACTGCCTCCTCTTAGACTTTGATCTAGTCTTCGATTTGTAATTTGTATTCAAAATCAGAAATGAGTAAGTCCATGTAGCTATAATGTATTATAAGACAAAGCTCTGCCCACTTAAGGTAAGCTCCTCTAAAGTTAGCTTCTGATAAAAACTGAAGACCTTGACAAATCATCTAGAGTATCCATGGAGACCAATTTTACAATTACGCACTGACTGTTGTTGAAGTAATGACTCTATTTTAAGACTTTTACACATTAAAGGGCTTGGCCCCACTTTTCTTTTCAAATGTTGCGTTTGTAAGGGTCACACAATGGCAGAAAATCAATATTGTTTTTTCTGTGTGCAGGAGAAAGTGACCGAGGAGCGAGTGCAGAGCCTGAAGCAGCGGTTCATGTCCGCCTATGATGTCACCGCTGACGGCAAGCTGCAGATCCAGGAGGTACGGCCTATAATATCATTTTGTCTCCAGCACTGTAGACTCTATGATACACATGGGAAATTAGTTTGTCACACTGGCAATTTGACAATAAAACTCAAATGAAAACACTGGTAAAATGCAAAATATATGTACATGCAATTAATTATATAAAAAAAAAGAAGGAGTAAAACAGGCTTTAGCTGTGTTTCATGCAACACTACAACCTTCTGTCTATAGATTTCAGTTACATGTCTTTTTCCTGCCAAGACTTTTACGATTCAAAGGGTAAAATATGTCATTTTGAATCATGGCATCAATCCAACTGCAAATAAGTTGAAACCTATAAATAGTCCGATAATGTTTAATTAAGATGTGGGGCAAATAAAAGAAGTACGATTTATGTACAGACTTCAGGCATTTAGATTATGTATTGTGATATCGTGAACCTAATGACTAACAAATTTGCTACATTTGCAAAATACATGCAATTTTTTTTAACACTTAACATGAACTGAAAGCAGAACACATTTCACACATTTCATGCACTGTGTTTCAGGTTTTTGTATTCATATTTTATTCATTGATGGCCATAAGAAATTATTTTGAAAAAGCATTTTTATTGCTACATATTATCAATGTAAAATAATCAATGTAAAGTATAAATCTTGTTCTTTTAGTTGCTGTGATCACACCTTTTAAATAGAATTACATCTGGTGTTTCAATATTCAAACAAAATTTTGATGAGAATGAAGGAAATGACTTGACACACCACACTCATGTGCTCTCAGACTCACTGATAAACAGTAGATGTAAACTATTCTGAAATTTGTAATGACAGGTCAAATTTTAATCTTTTTTTTTTTTTCTTCTGCATTGTCATGTCAATATTAGTTTATTTCCATCTACAACTATTAAAGAAGCTGTAAGTAAGATGGATTATTTAATTTATAATTTGATGTTTTGGGTCTCAAGATGATCAAAGAGCAGAATGACAGCCTCACATGAGTTTCTCCTTTGGGTTACCAGTTTCAATGCTGAAATTCAGATTTAAACCTAAAAGGACTCTCTGAAGCAGTCATGAATCAATGCTAGTGCAGCCTCTGCAGCTCAGTGAGGGAATTCTAGAGGCTCTTTCATGCATGGCCTGTCTATATACTAAGAATGACAAACACTTGTATGTGTCCTCTAGCCGCAGCTGTAGGTTAAGACACTGGCAACTCAGCTTCAGCTGAGCACAGGCTACATACAGTTCCTTTAAGCTTTTACATTTTGCTTGAGATTTCTAAACCAGAGACACAAATCAGATGGGTAGACCAGTGCAAATTCACTTTATGACAACCAAAGCTACCCAGATGTTTTGCTAATGCATCTTTACTGCAAATAGATTATATTAGACCAGAAGCAAATGCCACATATTATTTAACACGAAGACAGGAAGTCTACGGTTTGACAAACCACAAGATCCTGCCATGTGATGCTTGTTGCAGCATTTTATCTTTAGTTAGCTGATATGAGACCACTTTTAGACTAATCATATTGGCTACATGCATTTAGCATTATGAGTACAAGAAAGTACTATGTTGTGTTCTTGTCTTGCTCTTCTCTACTTCAGTGTCTCTCCCTGCTGTCATAAAGTTGGCATCACTGTTGGTGCATTGCGCTTGCTGTAACTCATGTCTGTACTGTGTGACCTATAATAAATGGCTGGAGTACCATCTTGTGTTTAAATGAGATAGTGGATGGGGCCAGTTTAATTTACTAATGGAGCCCTATTGTTTAACACACAAATGGGTTTGTCCAGGAAGAGCAATCCTCAAGTGTAAAATGCACAAGAAAAATTTAGAAGGAATGATATTTGGATACTTTAAATAAATATAACTATTCTGTAATTCTCCATATTGTTGTGTTTCTGTTGTGCTTTGTAGCTGGCCCACATGATTCTGCCAGAGGATGAGAACTTCCTGTTAATTTTCCGCAGAGAGGCGACTCTGGACAACAGTGTGGACTTCATGAAGGTTAAACAAATGTTAACATTCAATAAATAAATAATGCTCATAGGGATTTGGATTGAACGTTAAGAACAAAATCCGCCATATTGCTGCAAAACATCCATAGAGATACATTAGTTAAGACAATATATATAAGTAAAACATAGAGCAGTGCAATCTGACAAGCTCTTGCTTATCTCCATGGAAATGTTTTTGCTTTCTCTGAAATGTTCCACAGTATGGCGTGAAAACATATTTATCATCACTGAGAATATTAGGTGAAATCCCCAGTCCAGTTTTAAATTATATATATATATATATATATATATATATATATATATATATATATATATATATATATATATATATATAATTTATTTTTTTTGACGACACAATCCTGTCAATCTATATATTGTAAAATAATGGCAAAATTTCCCGATTTAAAAAAAACAAACATGTTTCCCTTTGAAATAAGACTTTTGTGACTTTTTTGCACCTGATAAATATGAGGTTGTCTTGTTTACCTGAATGTTCTGCTTTATTTGCATTATTTGCTTTTTCCCATTAATAAATGTAAAATACACATTAATGGCAAAAGTAATTAAAATGGAATTATTAATAATTGAATTAAAACAAAATGTATATCTTATACTTAAAGTATCTTATCTATACTAGATTTGGAGGAAGTATGATATTGACTGCAGTGGGTACATCTCTGCTCAGGAGCTCAAAGTAAGAGTTTTTAACATGAACAATCTTAGCTCATTTATGCAAAAATGAATATTTACTTCTGTAATATGCATATTTAATATCTCTTAGGCATTCTTGAAAGACCTGTTCCAGCAGCACCACAAGGAAGTGCCATCTGACAAAATGGATGAATACACAGACACTATGGTGTGGATCATGCCATTACAGAAAACTTATGTGGTCACATTAAAAACTGCATAAAACTTCCATAAAATGAAGTGTACTCTAAACCGTCTAAATCGTAGATTTCCACTGATATATTGTTTCTGTTTCAGATGAAGATCTTTGACAAGAATAAGGATGGACGTTTAGATTTAAATGATTTGGCAAGGTATCTATGGCTTGGTGATGACCTGCACGTCCATTTATATCTGCCTGTATATTTTAAGCTTAGTTTAAGTAACACGTTTTTCTTTAGGATCCTGGCTTTAGAAGAAAATTTCCTGCTGCAATTTAAAATTGATGTAAGTTGTAGTTTGTCATATAATGGAAAGAACAAAAATATTTATTCACTGTACATGAATATCCCTTTTGTTTGCAGGCCAGCAGTAAAGAGGAGAGGAAGAGAGACTTTGAAAAGATATTTGCACATTATGATGTAGTAAGTGTTAAGACGCAGACATTTATCTATAGTTTGGTGTCTTCATTACAGGCGGCACTGTGGGGCTCTGGACATAAACTCACTCAGTACATTACATACAGTTAGTCCTATTAGCTGTGTTACTTCCCCTATTAAACCAAATTACATTAACAGCCCATAATCTTGTCAGCTCACTCCCAAACCAGGATGTTAACTCTGTCACAGGCATTCACCACACGCCCATTCAATCATCCCAGTCCTAACACTTCCCTTTACTATGGATAAAACATGTTTTCTCTTGTAACACATGCATAATGTCAATTATTATAATGTGTTATTATTTATTTATTTACACAGAGTAAAACAGGAGCTCTGGAGGGTCCAGAGGTGGACGGCTTTGTCAAAGACATGATGGAACTGGTCAGGGTAAGAATCACATAAATGTAATCTGAGGTAGTGAGCTGAGCTTGTATGGAGGATAGTGAGGGTTGCGATATATGCATATGTGCTCCTGGCTGTGTACTCTATTTATTACTGTGCTGTAATGCCAAATTTCTCTGGAATATGTAAAAAATAAAATGTCCCAAATTAATGAATTTGACATGAGTGAATCTCATGTCAAATTCAGTATGCTTACTGTATTCCCCTAAGCACATCATATGACTAAATACCATATATATTTCTTAATAATTACGTCAATGAATCTTTCTCTTCCAGCCCAATTTGACGGGTTCTGACCTAGACAAGCTGCGAACTCTAATGCTGCATCACTGTGATGTCAACAAAGATGGGAAGATACAGAAGAATGAGCTGGCCTTGTGTTTGGGAGTGAAGCTAAAGCTGTAGTGCTTTAGTGAACAGTCTTAACAGGCTTATCAGTATTTATAAAGAAAATCATTATTAATTATTGTCCTGTTACATGATAAATTACTTTGTGCATGTTGTGAAAATATTTGATTTGTACACTATTTTAAATGTAGCAACAGTAGCTTACTAAGTTACTAAGTTTAGCCACACACATCTTTGTTCTTATTTTATTCAAATGTGAAAAAATAAAATGTTTTAAATATGTTTACTGTGTGCAATATTAATGTGTTTGAACTGACCTCAGATATTCTGAACACAAACCAAACAAGGGCTATAATGTTATTAATTACGCCAAAAATGGAAATATGTGAATTAATATAATGAGTATGAATATTTGTTTTCCTAAATTATTAATATATATTATAAGGCTGATTTTAATGTTTTCAATTGTAACTTAAATAGTTAAAGGAAAAAGCAAATGTGCTAGACATGAAAGTGTGAATTTTAACTGCAGTGGTGTGATGAAAATAGTGTTGGGATGTAACACATACAGTTACTTTATCATTTGGTGGTATTCAGAATACAGTTACTTTTCTAAAATCAAAGGAACACATTATCATGGTATTTGATCGTGTAATTTAGGCTTCAAACTGCACATAATCAGCGAGAAAAATAGAACTGCTCTTGTGGTGAAGCATGTGTGAGTTTTTCTATCTCCAGTTAGTGACATAAAGCTGTTTTTAATGCAATGTTGCATTTTTACATTATAATTTAAATGCAACTTGATGTAAAAGTATTCTAAATGCAGTACTCTGATTGGACCATGTATCATAATGTGTTACAAAACATTTTACTTGCTGGTACTACTACTCAGTATTCTGTAACTAAACAAACAAAATATTCTTCCCATCACTGGATGTGAATATGCAGTACAGACAACATCCTGTAGACAGTTTGTGGTGCCATAATGAAGCTGAAATCCCATTTAAGTGGCTGGACCCTATGGCCACTAAAAGGCAGCTAATGGTGTGGACGTAAAAAGCTCTGAGCCACCTCAACCACATGTGCACTCTGAGCTCTGCACCATTTGACCTGTAACTGTGACACTGTCGCAGACACACCACGAGTCATCCATATGATCATGCACAATAAAAGAGGTTTGGCAGTGTTTATCATAGTGTCTTGTGTACTCAGACAGAGACATACAGTGGAGCTCAGGGCCTTATTGACTGTGAGTGAGTGGATGTGACCACACCAGCTGCTGCAAAACAAACAAGATATCCTCCTCCCATTAAAGATGAGAGCTCTGTGCCTCTTGTACACTGTACTGTTATTGTCTCCTTCTGTGTATTAAAAGTAAACATTTGCCATTTGACTTTCAATAGTCAATATTGTTAAACATTATTTCGGTAATATTTAACTATATTTTACAATTCCAATAAAAGCATGTATTTTTAGTGCAGTATTGCAGGCTTTGAGGTTTTGGAGTTTTGGAACAGAGAAAATGACACTTCCTAATGTCGCTGTTTACTAAAAAGAAAAACAAATAACTCCGTATGTATGATCTAAAATTCACTATTTAAAGTGCATGATCTAAAGTTCACAAAAATTATGACGTCCAAGAGTCACTAGAGGAAATTTACACAATAATGCCCTCTAGTGTTCAAGTAGTGTTCTGATGATGGAATCTTGGTCTGAATCACAATGCAGTGTGATGTTATTCATGTTATGGTGGTAGAATCACTTAAATTTGTAGAAAAGGCCAGGACAGTTTATTCAAAAAAAAGGGGGTTGAGGGGCACATCTACACACCACTGATTTATAAAAATCCTCTTTCTGTTAATCTGTCAATTATTGTTACTTGGGCTTTGAAAATCCATGTATATCAAATTCTTTTTGTGTTTTTTCACTTGATGAGCACCAAAAAAGAAAAAAAGGAAAGCTAAATCCTTTTTTTCATTTTTGGTTTCAAATTGAAAATCAATTGAATGAATCATGCACGGATTTTTCATTTCAAAAAAGCAAAAGTTTGGAAATATTACTGGAAACCATAAACTAGGCATGCCCACACAAATCACAATTAATCAAGATTAATACGTATAGGATAAGTTTTTAAAAGAATATATTCAAAAAAATGTAAGAATAAAAATGAAAAGCCTTAAAAAAAACTGTAAATCTAGTTTCCAAAAGCTAACCTATCCAATCAAATGCCAGACCATCCCAAATGCAGCAGCCACATTCAGGGTCAAGCCTTCAGACCTACTGACCCTCCATGGTCCTCTCTCTCTTTCTTGCTTTATGGTGGTGCCCTTCGTTTGCTGACAGAGTAAACAACAAATAATAAGGTGTTGTAAATTGTAACCCTTAAAGTGCCCTGTGTGCCCTTTTAAAAGCTACATGTCTTTCTTTTCTCCTAGGTGAAGTGGAGTATCGGCCTGCTCAAGTGTCAATGCTAAATGTTGCTGTTGTAAATATAATGTGCAGATTATTGATGGGTAGGGCCACTCGTTTCCGTGGTTTCATCTGAACACCTCAATGCCCTTTACATTCAAAGGTCAGGTGAGTGAATATATAGCAGGTATTAAAGCATATGTGTGGGTTAACGTTGGTGTCATCCAAATATAAACTTGCTATTATTAGTATGCCGTTAAACTATCTATGTTGCATTAATTACATTACCAGTGCTACCTTGTAAAACACTTATTTGTACTATGAGCAGATCTGTCCGTTAATTTGGCTTGGTGGCATCATCTGTTGTTTGCATGGAGATTGAAAAGTTAAGATCAATACTGTATGTGGAATATTCAAAGCAAAGCAATAACATCCCCATGGAAACAAGCAGGTCTGAATTGCAGGTTATTTTTAACTCAGACATATCTTTTAAAAGTGCTGACACTATTTTAGAGTAAGAATCATTAAATGTGAAGTGCGTCACACCATCTTTTTAAGGTCAATTTATGAACAAGGTATAAAAGGGCATGTGTTTAAACTGCGCTGCTATGTAAATAACGTTAGGAGTGTAGTCATGGTGTTTTCTTATAGGTGTACTCTTACTTGCGTCAAAACTTTGAGGTGCTACTGTGAATCTCCATTTCAGATTTCACAGACCAAATGCTTAGACGACCAAAACAAACAGACAGGTGGAGGAAGCACTCACAATCTTTACTTCATTGCTTATAGTTAAAAAACAGTATCGTACAATAGTCAAGCACAAGTAGGTTTCTCGGGGGTTGACTAACCGGTGAACTACAGTATAATGAGCTCTAGTTATTTATGTTTTCTGTTGCCATTTTGAGGACTTTTGGCCATTAAAAAGATAAAATTGCCAGCTACTGATTGTGCTAGCTTCTATAGGGATGTTATGCAAGCTGCCTATACAACATTTCATCTTGAACTGCAAATTCAAATCAAAAAAAATTCCTGTTATTGTATTTGTATGTGTTAAAGTTCACATTTAAAAGCAAATTTTTGTAAGATTGCAATACATGCGGTCTTGTGATATATAAAAAGTTACTATATGTGTATTCATCATAATGTTTGTCCGCATTTTCAAGTACTCCAAAACTCTAAAGGCTAAAAATAATGTTATAAATCAACATTTTGTTTATTTTTCTATAGGTTCTTCGTTCAAGTGGCTGCCATATGTCCACACAGAGAAGTTCAAACAAACCCGCTGATGGACCATATACATGCTGTCTGCTGCTGCTCTGTGCCTGGGCCCCCTGCTCCAGACATGTGGAGCGCCTGATGACCCTGTCCTGTTAGAGTACATGGACCGTTACTTCACTTTTGCCAACTTTTTTAAGAGTCCCAAAATGAATTGTGCTGCCATATTGTTCCAGTGCCACCCAAGGATCTGGTGTTGCAGCTCATGTACGATGGCATACGGCAAATAAACCAGCACTGAGAGATTTGTGGTGACCGCACAAGACGTTCAAGCAGATGACCGACCGCTGCTCAGTGTGGAAATTAAAATAAAAGTACCAAGAGGAAGTGTACATATTGAGCTTGGTCAAAAGGAAGCAGTAAGGTCACTTTAGTGTAAGTGTAAAGCAGGATACGGTGGGTATTTTTAAATGGTACAGAAATCTTATAATAATGATAATGATAATAATGTATTTGATTTATACTGAGCTTTTTGGATGCTCAAAGATATTTCAATATTAATCCACTCTACCACTGGTGATGGTAAGATACTATGGCTGCCACAGCTGCCCTGGGGTAGACTGACGGACATGATGCTGCCAGTCTGACCCATGAACCTCTCCGACCACCTATCATTCATGCACAAACTAAAAAAGATTTCAGAGGTAGTCATCTGGACACTGTTTAAGACGTTTCAGCTCCCATCCAGAAGCCATTTTGAATTCACGCTCAATGCACATTCCTACCATGACAGTGTCCTGCCTATAGGACACAAAGATGTTGCTAAATACTGAACAAACACCACCAGTTTTCCATTTCTCTGAATGTAAAGTATGAGCAGATGTGTAAGAAGAAAATACAAACCTCTTTACTTTTTACCATGTAGATGAAAATATAGTGTATTTGTATTTTTGTTTGTTGCACTACTTGTGAATGTAGTAAATGAAATGTGAATATTCTAACTTTTGTCATAAGCTCACAATAAAATCTATCAATCAAGTTTTTATCCCAAAGGAAATCAATCATCAGAGTGATCTTACAGAAATGTAACTACAGAATAGTAAAGTTGTAGACCTGAATAAAAATAAATATGGTCTACATACTGATTTTGTGAACAAATATAAACTGTTAATGAAACCATAATTTCATTAACATTTTGGGCACACATTTTTTTTTAAGTGTTGTTTTTAGATCATTAGAGTTGACCAGTTCACTTCCTGCCCCCCACACTGTTAACCTCAGTGTGCAGGCCTGTTTTTATGAATGTGATTTCATTTTGCTGTGTGGCCTGACCGCTCCAGTACCAACACCAGCGGGTTTCTGGGCAACAATCCCGCTGTTGACTCACTGTTTGTACCAGGACACCTTTTCTTTGTTTAGAAATGACTGTGTGAAACCACAGTTTAAAGTGCCATTGAGAGTCTCCCAGGACGAGCACAGTATGAAGTTAAACAAGGCTTTCAATAATAACATGCAGAGTTTACCTTTTCTAAATGTTCTGATTGTAAGCAGTACAGGTGAGTAAGTTTGATTTTAAAAAGTATACAATCTTTGTATCCCTAGAGGTAACACTAAAATGTGGACAAACACTTTTTATGTTTGCATTTCCCTTCTTGGGTGGTCATCATCCCTCGCCAATGTTTTACATATGTTGGATATTTTTGTTTAGCATAAGTGTACTGTGACTAGATTTATCAAGATTCATCACCTGCTTGTGTCCCTCGAGATGTTACTGCTTTGCAAAATATTCCAGAATTTGTCTGTGTAATTACTTAGTAATCCAGGTACAGTAGGCATGTTCCACAGCTTGGCACTAAAATGTATTTTGCATTTATTTCTTGCTCAAAAATACACACACAGCAGGGTTGCCTCTCCACAGAGTTGACATGTAACCTGGCCAGGTGGTGTCAGCTGTTTAATGCCATACTGTGGAACATTACAGGCAAAGCAATAGCACTTTCATGGAGACTATAGGAGGTGGGTGACCCTTCTCCAGAACAATTTCTAAAGCTGTAAGATCCACATTAAATATTTAATCAAGCAAACGCCATTTGGCCTGTGACCGGACCAGTTTTCTGCATTATAAAAACTGCAAAACTGTATACATTCTGCTTTAAATAGAGCTTAAATAATAGCGTACATTTTATAAGGTAACTTTGGATTTCCTTTTGCCTTTTCCTTTTGCACCTGCAAATAGCACACTTGAATCAGACCACCTAAAAATAAGCCAAAGCTCTAAACACAGTGAACGGTTGATAAAGTTTCAACATGTGGTAACCACCTTCAGGTGCGTGAGAGCTTCCTTTTGTGTCGACTCAGGCACGGTGAGACAACTTCCCATGGCGCACTGCCCCATCTGCCCAGCTTTAGAACCATATTTTTTTCAATTAAATTTACTTAATGTTATTTGATGTATACATTACAAGACAATATCTATGTATTATATGCTTACTCTGATTGATTGCTTATAATAAACATTCATGCTGCACTGTTGTGTTGTGTGAATGTAGACTTGACTCTGTGTTGGCCTCAGCTTCACAAGGTTCCCAACTCCTGAATGCTGAATGTCACTCCCTCTTTACCCCCATTTCACACTAGTCTTCTGTCCTGTCAATCAAAACCCATACAGATGAAAAATGGAACAAAAACTGCATGTGAATATGCTCGCAAGAAACACATTTGATTCATATACTACAGATAACATCCCCACCCTTTAAGGTATGATCAAAATCTGGTCCAACCTGATTTCTGGCCTGGAGATAAAGCTTCTTTCTCTGCACATACTAGTATTGTGAGTGGTGCCAGTTTCCCGTGGAGTCTCTGCTTCTGATCAACCACATTTTCCACTTTGCTTCTATTTTTGGAAGTGCTGACTTCACTCAAGGGAATAAAATGCTTTTACTTTCTGACCTTCAATGTAGGTGATCGAGGAGCAGGGTCATAGGTCAGCAACCAGTCACTCGGGGGCTATATGAACTGCTGTCATGTGGGACAGAAATAACTCCTGAGCGCATGGTTTGCTAAATACAATGAATCTGTTAGTACTGTGTTAAAAATATTTTTTTTTACTGGTACACGGTGATAAATTTACAACTGTGGAAATTTACTACTGTTGTTTTTTGACCAAAAGCCTAATTATGGACAAAAAAAATACAATACTTACTAAGTTAATTGCTTTATTAAAAGAGTATTTCAAAACATGAATGAATTCAAAACACTAAATGGATTTGGCATGCTCAGAATAGAATTGTAGAGCTACAACGCCATAAACCAGTTGTATCATAAATGCTAATCTTGTATGCATTTAAAAAGAGTCAAAAGGAAAAGTGTGTTTTTGTATGTAAAACCATCCTTAATCAACACTCAGTTCTGATTGATAAATTTTCTCATGACAGCCCTGCAGAAAAAACATACTGACACAAGGTAAAATAAAACTCTTCTTTTCATTTGTTACTTCCATCTACATCCATCTATGTCACTTCCATCAGGATCCACAATGAAAACCTCATCCGTCATCCTCTTCCACATGCCTTCCCACATTCCTTCCTGTTTGTCGTCATAGTGCCCATAGACCACTCCTCTATAAAAGACCGTCTGCTCCTGAGCTTCAGCCACATTGACAAGGAGATCCCAACCCGCTGCTTTTACACACACAAGACGAAGAGGGCTAACTCTGAACTATCGGAATTACACAAACTGAACTCTTTTCCTTTTGAAGATAATTTTTTATTTTGATCAAGATGTCGATTCACACAGTTTTCCTTACTTTATTTTGGGCACAGGTACAGTATGAACTTACATTGCTTTTATTTCATTTCAATCTAGGCATTTCAAATCGATAAAACATAGGACTGTTGCCATATAATACAGACAAAATATTACATCTTACATACAAAGCAATGTAAGATACAGTTACTATTCATTTATATCTATGGATTTCAGCTTCCTGTTATATGTGACATCTTTTCAAACAAATAATATTTATTTTTTAAATTGTTAATTTCTGTCTTTGTTTTTCATGATTCTGAAACACATGGACAAAAACATCTAATTATGTTAACATACTGGAGTTGAAAGACAAGCTAAGAGAAACTATAGAGACCTTATCCACATGCACAACAATGGAGGTCTGTCATAGTTATTATTAATTTCTATACTAATATTGCATTCAATTTTCCTTTTAGATGTGCACAATGGCATGGTCCCAAATGTGCCCACGTACATGCCAGTGCCCCAAAGAGCCTCCCATGTGTGCCCCCGGGGTGCAGCTGATTTTGGACGACTGTGCATGTTGCCTCGTGTGTGCACGGCAAGACGGACAGCCCTGCTCCGACCTCTACCCCTGCGATACCCACAGAGGGCTGCACTGTGACTACACCGCCGACAAAAGGACTGGCATATGCACCTGTGAGGCTCTGAACATTTGAAGCATGTGAATTTCTTATCAGGGTTTGATGTCTAATTGACCTTTTCTGGGTTTTCTGCAGCTCACGGTGGACAGGTGTGCGTTCTGGATGGAGTGGTGTATCAGAATGGTCAGATCTTCTTCCCCACTTGTAAATACCAGTGCATTTGTCGAGATGGTCAGATTGGCTGTGTGCCTCAGTGTAATGTGGATGTGATGCTGCCTGGACCAGACTGCCCCATGCCCAGACGAGTGCATGTCCCAGGAGAGTGCTGTGAGAAGTGGGTGTGTGAGCCCCCCTCAGAGGCCAGTGCTCTGGGAGGCTTTGCCATGGCCGGTGAGAGAAAAAATCCTCTTTGACAAATATATCACGAATGTGTGGGACAAAAAGCGTAAAGGTTAGGTACACTCCTCTGACCCCTTTAGTGAAAGAGGACAAACAAAGTAAAGAAAAACAGTGAAATATTCAAACAAAAAAATCTTTTAGAGCACTTTTCACCTTTATTACTAAAACATCTAAAGGAATAAAATGTTATCCACCGCTCTGAAATTGTGTTCTTTAAATTGTGTAAATTTTGTGTAAGTTCCCTTATTGTTTTCACAGCATATCGTCAGGAGGAGACAGTAAGATTTGACGGTTGGGACCCAAGCCTGAACTGCATAGAGCAGACCACAGAGTGGGGGGCCTGCTCTCGGACCTGTGGGATGGGACTGTCCACCAGAGTGACCAACAAGAACAGTCGGTGTGAGATGGTGAGGCAGAGCCGCTTGTGCATGGTTAGGCCATGTGAGGACCAGCAGACTCAGACTGCACTGGCACCGCTCATGCCAAAGGTACATCTTTGTCGGATTTTTCTTTGAATGTGAATGTAATCCAAATATATTGTTCAATAATCCCATATAATCTCATCCTTTCAGAGAGGCAGTAAATGCCAGAGGATGACACGTAGTGAGACTTCCATCCACCTCTCCTATAAAAACTGCACCAGTGTCCAGTCTTACAAACCTCGTTACTGTGGCACCTGCACTGATGGGCGCTGTTGCACCCCTCACCGAACCAAGACGGCCCTCCTGGACTTTCAGTGTGCCAGTGGTAAAACCAGCAGGAGGCCAGTCATGCTCATCCTAACCTGTGTGTGCCACAACCACTGCCCCAGAGACAATACAGAGTGGAACACACTGGTCTTATAGTGTGGACCATATATGACATGTATGTTGGCAATGTGCTTGTTTTACACACTTGTAGAGACTCATTCACAAAAGGGTGATTTTCAAAATCACCAGAGAATCTGTTAAATTTGACAGCACTTAAATAATGAACAGATGTTTTTTTTTTTTTTTCAATGACATAGAATCTTGTGGTCATTGCTGATTGATCAGTGGTTAATCATTCTGGCTTTGAAATAATTACTCCGAAAGACTAATGGAAGAGGACTGTAGATGCTCTGAGCTAAAGAATCCTGTTGGAAAATTTCCAACTATGAGAGACATTTTTGACATAACTGAACTGTGTTCTCTGACCTGGTCTGAAGCAAGGCTTGAATCATGAACGTGATCTTTGTTGTACTGTGGACGTGGTGTAATTTCTAACATGTGTATGTAACTGTATTTTCAGTGTTAAACAGTGTGTTAATTACATGCTTGAGAATGCAAAATACTTTAGACACGCTTTTAACTAATGCTGGAGAAGTGAGCTAACAATGACAAAGGTTTTGTAAATACTTGCTGTATAGTTTAAGTGTGCATGAAAATGCAGAATTTATTATTGAAATGTAAGAGCAGTGATGTAAATATTTTAAAACATGCACAATCTTTGTGTAATTGTAATAAATATTATGAAACAAATGTTTATATGAGGGTGTCATGATTTTGAATTTGATATAGCTTTTCAAATCTCTGTCAGTCTGATAGAGGCAAAAACGCCCCTTCATAAATGTACTATGGTGTTAATGAATGTCTGACTAAATCTAATAAAGCTATCTAAATCGATTAATAAATCTAAATAGGTATTTATTATTTAAGTTTAAGATGCAGTATAACCTTATTCAGAGACTTCTAAATTAATTTACTGTATTCACTCAACCTCTGCCCTGGACTATTTCTCCTTATCCGACTTCCCTGACAGCACTGCAGCAGGTTCACATCATCACAAGGTTTTCCATTGAGTTGTCAGATGGACATGAGCGACCTCTGACCCCTGTCTGAAGAGCTCTACCTGGGAGGTCACTTCATAAACCATATTATTCCCAGTGGAAAAGTTACTGCTTCTAAAATAAGCTTTAGTGGAAAGATGAGCTCATCTGCAGCAGTGTGGTCCTCTCATCTGGAGACAGCCTCCCCAGACAATATGTGGAATATAAAAAAGATGTTTGTTTTATATGTATCACACAGATTTTTATTTTTATTTTTTACTAACAAATAAAATATTAATAAAAATAATAATAATAATAATAAAAATCACACTTAACAAAAAATGTATTAATTCTGAAATATTGCATAAAATAAAATGATCATAAAGACAATGGCAAAGAAGACATCTGATCTATTTTTACATGGTGTCCAGTTTTTTACATGTGGTACATATTTATTTCTATATATAAACAAGAAGAGTTCTCCTTTGAAGTTACAGTTAGTCATACACAACAAAACAATCCCATCCAGTGGATGGACGATGAACATGAGCCCCTGCTCATAGTCCACACACACCAAAACTCTGTCAGGAAAATTATTTTTTTCTATGGGACACCCTGCTGGACATTCACAAAAATTATTGTAACGTACAACCCATTTCTGATGTGTTTTTGTACTGAAAACCATATTACCACGCATTTTTGCATTAACTACTCCTATTGTGCAGCTACTGTTACCAACATTGGGAACATCATAATAGACTCTTCCGGTGGAGAAGCCAAAGTGTGAGGGGAGAGGCAAAAAGGTGTACAGGACATTATTATGCCAAATCTTCACATTTTCTAAGCTCTCTGTCTCATTGGTGTGCTCCATCTTTTCCACCCTTGGTGCTGCATGCTTGTTTTTGTTTCTCTTTGTTTTCCTTGAATTTTTCATCTTTATATAATATACATGTTTTTCTGACTTCATGTTTGACTGGCCCTTTTTCTCATTATTGGCACACAACACACACACTTTTGTCTGGTCACAGCTGGTCTCTTCTAAAATCCTGTTGTGTTTTGGACACATCTTTTGCTGCAGGTTTGGCACAGGATCAGTGAGTGTGTGTGTCTTTAAAGAGGACACTCTGAGGTGAGGCTCCAGGTGACTCTTACAGAAGGATGTCAGACACACCAGGCATGTCTGAGCTGCTCTGCGTCGGGACTCAAGGCAGCAGTCACACAGTACGTCCTCTGGACCGCTGGGCTTTTCACTGTCACTTACAACATAATCCTCTTTATAATTGTCCACAATGTCTCTGAACAAAGTGTTTATATTGAGTTTCAGGGATTTGTTGAACTCCCGTTTGCAGAGTGGGCATTTGCACACTTCTTTGCCTTCCCAGTGCCGCCCGATACAGCCATCACAGAAGTTATGTCCACACGGAAGAGACACTGGGTTACTGAAGATATCCGTACAAATGGAGCACTCAAACTGCTCTTCTTTTAAGAAACTGCTGGCTCTGGCCATAACTATAAAACAAAAATATAGCAATAATTATGACAACAAGAATTTAAAAAACAGTTTGCACTGCAGACCTAAGTCAGAAGCTTACCTTTGCTGCCTTGTTCTGCACAAAACTCAACAGTGCTTCGTTGAGATAGCTTTAGTTTCATTTCAGTGTAAATGATTATGTGATGCTCCTCCTCTATTGACACTTCCTAAATTTTAGTTTCAGGACTATTGCCCTCTATAGGATTCAACAAAGAAATACAACTCTTGTAGAAGGCAGGTATATGAGCGCTTCACTGGGTCTGCAAAACGTCATGTGCTCTTCAAGGACGTGCACATTTACTAAGAGAGAGCCAAAACTTGTATAGTTGTAATCACAAAACTCTGAAAAAGTTGCCTGGAAATCCAGAAGGATATTTTTCTGCATTTGCTGGTACAGCGATGAGTCTGGATTCTTCCAGGCAACTGAAAAAAATCTAGTTGGTCTAAATACGTAGGTGCATGTCCTATGTAATAAAGGACATGCACCTGGTCAGTGTGCCTAGGATCCTTCTGCCTATCAATACAACTTCTTCAAGACAAGTTTTGACTCTTTCTAAAGAAATACAACTAACCTAGAAATCTAAGATGAACTTTTCCAGGGTTTCCAGGCTAAATGAATGTGGCGTGTTTGTAGTCTGCCTCCTGTTTTCAACTTTGTGGCTTTTTATCTAAATGATCTAAAACTTAATGCTTCTATTTACTTTTTACTCTATACATTCGACTGTCAAAATATATTATTTAATCGAGTTCTTGATGTGTAGCCTGTAACCTTATGCATTACATAAAATGATACTAGTATAAATACTCTTACTTAAGTTGCCTAGTTGTTTCTAAAAAATACTTTCACGACTTTGTACTTCTACTTCGGTGATATTATATTGAAGCAACGGTGCAACTTTTGTTTATCCCCAGCACATTTAAATATAATGCAAGCAAGATGAACAATTTCTTAGTTTGTTCTTGCATTAAAGCTATCATACGTTTATTTGACATTTTCTGGTCTTTTTCTGTCAGGCCAAAGCTGGAACACTTGTCAGACAGAAGTCACATCGTCTGGGGGTCTTATCTTATGTTTATGTGTTATGCTCTACTTGACCATTTAACTAATGCAACTGCCTCTAGTTATTGATGCTACATTTTAATATGCCTATACACTTTAATGACACTATTAACCTTTGTGTTTGTTTGGAGCAGATAAAATTAAATGTTTGCAGTTTATAAAAATGTCATTAATTAAAATCCCTAGATTCTATCACCTTCCAATATGCATTTCCCTTTATATTTGTTTATTTGTTATCAAGGTCATTAGCACAACAAAGAATATAGGTAACACTGATTTCTCATTTACATATAAAAGTGAAAAATCAATTGCATCTCCTGCACCCAATTAAAACTAAAAATATTTCTACCTTTGCTTGTTTGAACAAGAAATAAGATAATGTCGTTATGTACTTTAATGATTCATCGTAGCTCATGGGCAAAAGGGTAAGATTGCACACAAGTTGAACTCAATATAATAACAATGAAAATCCAGAGCCTATTTATTCAAAGGCATGATGCCGAGGCTCATTCTGTATAATATATTATTTTACTTTAGGGGGACATAAACTTATATTTAAAAAAAAAAGAAAGAAAGAAAGAAACATGGCAATCATGTCAACAGAAGTCTAACTGACCTTTGTTTTACCATAGTTCATAGGCTCATTGTTCAATTTCATAATCTACCACTAGATGTCACTAGTATGTTGAGTATGGCGCAGAGGGGCACGATGATTTAAAAATTTAGTAAAGGACCATATACAATTGTTAGCGTCTGAGAAAGCGGGCTTGGTCTTTTTTTCTGTCTGTGAAAATGTCATACAGGGACATGTAGGCGGTGAGTTTGACCCGGTGTCAGCTGGTTGTGACTGACAGCGTGTGGAGCTGTCAGTGGGACTCACCTGGACACTACACACACTCCTCAGACTTTGCCTTGTAGCCTGGAGTTCATACTGGCTATTGAACTCGGAGTGCGCAGAATCATCGCGGCGTGGAGGTGTTCTTTGGAATAGTAATGACAGTGATGGAGTGAAGAAAAAGGCCTCAGAGGGGGGTCTTTCCGTGTCAGGGATCTGTAACAAAACGCCTGCTCGCTCTCTCATTTTCTTTGAAGAGTCAAACCGGCACAAGCGCATTCCTGTGTGCGCGCAACCGAGCCAGGACTGCTACGGCGAGAGCGCGGTGCAATGCCTTCCACGGACACCGGGAGCAGAGGAAACTTGTACTCATTATTTGTGGCTTGGACTTGCCTTGAATGGAAATGTAAGAAGACGAAAGGACGCTGCTGTAGGCTATTTAGATTTGCAATGATGATTTCAATTGTGTAGATATTTTGGTTGGAGCATTTTTGCATGTTATTTTGTGTTTTTCCCAGTTAGTTAGGCTATAGAAGCCATGTTTTGTTTGGATAGAGGAATTGATTTTACGCAGGTTCAAGAGATGGGATGAACTGACCTCAGGGCGCTAACTCCACCCATCGGATAGTATCTTTAGCGGGCGGAGCGGAGGGCTTGTTTAGTTACGGGATATCTGACAACTCCAGCAGAAAACTTCACAAGGGCAAAGTCCGTTCAGCGTGAGTACGTGAGGAAGAAACGCTGGGAACTAATTCACGTGTGGGATTTAAAAGCAAGAAACGATGCAAAGATGGCGCTTATAATGGGGGCTGGAACTTGTATGGTGCCAAAAAGTGGTTTTATAGAAGTTTTAGTGCGCGAACAGTGGCATAGAGTTTTTGTGAACCTGAATGAGGAAACTCTCATTTTGAGTTGCGAGGATAGTGACAACTTGAACTCTAACGGTGTCAGTCATGGGTCATACCTGGACAACAACAATGCCAACTCCAACAATGCGCCCCAAAGCGTGCGCTCTGCTTTCACGGACCTTCCAGAAAGAGTGCCCGAGGCCATCGCCAACAGGAAACGTAGTGTTAAGGTGACCAAGCAAGAGGTTGGGGGGCTGGGGATCAGCATCAAGGGCGGCAAGGAGAACAAGATGCCTATACTTATTAGTAAGATATTCAAAGGTCTCGCTGCGGACCAGACCCAGGCGCTGTACGTGGGAGATGCAATCCTGTCCGTAAATGGTGTGAACCTGAGGGAAGCTACGCACGACGAGGCTGTACAGACGCTCAAACGCGCCGGGAAAGAAGTTACATTAGAAGGTATGTAGCCTATGTTTTGTCAGTCATAACAGACAGAGTGTTTGTCACACCCCTTCTTAGAATTCTACACTTGTATTTGGCACATTCTTCTACCCAACAATAATTACACAGCCCATGTTTTGATCAAGACATAAATCATTACCTCTGTCCCACAAATTGTAAATACCACTATTGGGCAACACATAACAACAAGTAGTAATATCTAGTTAATGATAGAAGTTTGATCATTCCTTTCTGTCATTAAAGGTCATGTGATATGCAAATGAATGACTAGAAGAATATCTGTACAGCATTCATTATGTAACGTTGTCTTTATCTTTGTTCATGAGAAGTGGTGACTTGATGTTCTTGCAAAAGTAAATGTTTGCAAAAACATATCAAACTGGTGGTGCCAGTGCATTGATAAAATCATACTATGTTTCCTTTTTCATTCAAGCAAGGCTACTAAGATACTTCTTACATCTAATATAAACTATGCAGGAAGTAAGTGATAAGATTTTTTTGTTATCCAGGTCAGTGTGTACCAATATCATGATTCACAATAATAACAAGGCCCCATGCTACCTTGAAGAATTCTGATTATATATTATCTATTTGGGTTTGCAGATATATGCTACATTGCTTTATTTCTAGCTTTAGTGATGATAATTAATACTAAGACTTGTAGTTCTATGACATTGGACCAGAGGGTTGCTGTTTCATATCTCATTCAACGCACCTTTGCACCATGATACATGCTCAGACAGGAATGACATGTCATTTTAACATACTTGGAAATTTGTCAGATTATGCAGGGAAAATGGAGTCTAAATAGGTAACCGCTCTTCTGAATCATCCTGATTCAAGAGATGAGTTACCCAAACTGCTGAATAATTTTATATCCAGATTCCGTCTTATGTAAACCAGGGGCTCTCAGTAATGATCATAATCTTTTGCATGAACACAAACTCACAGCATCAAACATGTACTTGAGTCTCTATATTTCTTGTTTCAGTAGAGTTTGAAAACATTATATAGAAACCACTTAAAAAACAAAGCGTCATTTCCCCTTTTAACCACATAACGATGTTTCTCACAATTGGCCTCTTCTAAGTTGACTCCAGCTCTTGTGAGGTCTCTCACTCACTCACTCTCTCTCTCTCTGTCTCCCACTCTGCCCCTATATCTTTTTCCCTATCTATCTCTTTTACTCTCTCAACCCCTCTCTACATCTCTTTTTCTTTAACCCCCCACCCTCTCTCTCTCTCCCTAGTTCCCGCTCTCTCTGTCTATTTCTCTCTCCCTCTCTTCTCCACTCTCTTCTTTCTCTGTCTCTCTCTCTCACTGTCTTATACTCACACTTATTCACATGCAAACATAGTATGATGATTCCTCCCAGGGGACACCAAGGCTGCACTCTGAGGGAGAGGCTGTAGTCCCAAGCTGAAAATTTGCACAGATAAGGGCTTAACAGTGGTAAATTCAGATGACTACAGGATTTAATGTATAATGTAGTTAATATAGAACTGCTAAGAGGGAGAGAGATACAGGCAGAAACAAGGGGAAAGATAGTTTAAAGTTAATTGTGGGGGTTAACTTGAGGGTAATCAGAAGCAGAAGTAGTTCATCTGCATATCAGGAAACAGACATGACATGGTTTTGATTGATTGCTGTTCTTGAGGGCACATGGCCAAGTAGTTGTATTATGTAACACTGGGGCTGTAGCTCTGTCGGTAGCACAGAGCTGACCCACAGGTTGGCAATTCAATCCCACAGGTGGGTAAGACACTTAACCGACCTGACCACCAGTGTCTGCGTACACTTGTGTATGTGTCTGCGTACACTTGTGGGGTGTGTGGTTCCACGATGAAAAGTACTTTGAGGCGGAAAAGTGCTATATGATTAAATTTGATCATTTATCATAACCACAAGAGTTCAATTTCCTTTTAACAACTATGTGCCCTCATACATTACTGCCTTGCTTCAGTTTTCATAATATATGGGTTTGTGATGAGTTATTATACTGTATTTTTCTATCCTTATGTATATTTATTTAACCAGTTTAGGCCCACTGAGATTTGGAATCTCTTTTTTTAGGCCCCTGCCCATACTTGACTTGTTTTGGAACATGTTAGGAAAAAGTAAAGTAGGGCTGAGAGATACGACAAAAAATAAATAATAAAAAATCTCACATTGATGGTGTGATTAAAAACAAATAAGACAATAAGAAATGAATTGCCTAAACACAAACCATCCAAAATCATTGTAATTTTACACAAAAATAGTCAAAATTCTTCCTCTAAAGTCAGAATTCTGCCTCAGCCATATGCTTTTACTGACAGAGGATTAGCCAGAGACTTTAATTAAAAACAGCAAAGCATATCATTACATTAGAGATGATTAAAATTTGTTTAATTGCACAGCCCTATGGAATACCCAGAGAAAATTTCCAGGCACAGGCAGAACATGCAAACTCTGCAAAGACATGCCCTCACTCCATCTGGGAATCAAACCCAGAACTTTCTAACTGAGGCTGAAGCACTAGCTGTTCCACCATACCAGGCAACTTTAATTATCACAAATAAAACAAATCACTTACTGTCCTCATGTAAAAGAGGAAGGTCTTGATGATTATTTCACTGAAGTAGGTCAGTTCCATTAACATAGAGTTCACTATCTTGTCATTACTTTGAGTTCATATGTTCAAGTGGGAGTTATTATTGTATTGTGAAGTCAAACAAGTCAAGAGTGAATTTCCTCATGAGGCTCAGTGCGTCAAATATCTCATAGCAACCAGCTTAATGCTATTGGGGCCTGATTATTATACCAACAATGACTTGATTAAAATAAGTGTATTTCTATTTTTATGTGGAGTGTGCCGCGTAGGGCCACTTCACGATACAGTGTCCAGTAGACAAATAAAACACGCTAATATGGTGCACTTGTAGTACTTCTAATCAGTGCCTAATTCAAGACCTATACTAAAGCAGCATGGTGGAAAATGCAGTGATTAAGTTAAAGGCTAAAGGAGAGTGGAAAAATATCTATTTGTCACTTTATCTATTATTTTACGCTGTGGTGATGTCTTTTGATTTATATTTTTGTCTTTTATCATAGATGTTGATGCCTGAAGCAGAATAGTAGTCATTTTCCTATCACTGGTCCATGTTATTGGCTGGTGCTCTTTCATTTCTCAAATTGTGTCAAGATTGGCAATACAAAAAACATCAGAAAAAACACGCTTTACTGAATAATCAGAAACTCAGTAGGAACTCAGTTGTGCTTAAGAAAACATTTGGTGAAATTATACAACCAGTGGATGCCGGGAAGATTCCTGGTATCATAAAAGTGCATATTATACCTTTAGTGCACTTATGCTTTATACCCAAATTTCCTTTCTCCTTTGGCTCACTGCAGCATCTTTGTGGTTTGCATACTGATTCAGTCTATAGTAGTTATTATTTTGGTTGGTATTTGTGGTGTTTCTGTGTACATAAAGTGCACAATAACTTCTCAATTATAACAAGAATAATTACAACAAAATTACAAAAAAGTTGTAATTTTTTTTCTCTAATCCATCAACCAAGCATAATTGTCAGTGATAAGCATGGGGATTTGAAGGTCTGCAGCCAAGGACTAAATGAGACTGGACTCATTTTTTAGTTAAATGGCATGGATTATTGTGCTATTTTTTAATATAAAATCAAATTAAAATATAATGATCGTGTGAAAAATTTGATTAATTTTTTGCCGTATCTCCCAATCCTAACTACATCATGTTGTAAAGCTGAAACAGTAGTTCAATCTGCCAAAAGAAAAACAATGAAATAGGACCATCTGCCTTAGCCCAGACAGGAAGTGAGTCAGTGACCGATGTAATGTATTCCCCAGTGTGGCCCTTTAACAAGCCTTACCTGTCACTATTTGACATACATGGGCCCCATTCTGCTGTTAGACCCACTACATCCTGTGTCATCTGTCGTAATGTCTAGACTCCACACTCAGTCTGTGAGAGATACAGAGATTGCAGCTGACTGATTTCGTCATTAGAAAGCCTAACATTCCAGTGGTTGTTTGTAGAATGATTCAGATGATGAGGTTGTAAACAGATACCTTTGTTGTGGTGAATATAAAATACATCAACGGTGTTCCTCTCAATCTTTTGGTGAATGTTTGTCTGTCAAAACAACAGCAGAAACACAGATCTGCTTTTCCTGCTTTCCGATTTATCTAAAGGCACAAAATAATGCTGCCGGTCCAGGTGTGATCATTGTGCTGGTATCCTGTTTTGTGTGTGTGTGTGTTAACGTAGGAGATCCTGCACATTGTTTGAGCAGCAGATAAACTTGTGATTGTGCTTCAGACCATGTTGCTTCAATGACTTATGGGCGTGCTTCACAAGTGTACCACAATTTATGTAGCTCAGCATGCAAGAGAATTTATTTTTATTGACTGATAGTTTAGTCATCAACATCTGAATGTGAAAAATTTACTTGAGGTTAGGGATGGATGAGATCTCATGCCACAAGATCCTGTGAGATAGGGCACATATGAGTTTTTTTCCCCTCATGTTTAGATTGGACAAAAAAGGGTACACTTTGCTAAAGTACACCTGTTAAGAAGCTCTAGTTCCAAAAGGCATAGCTACAAGGTGTGTAACAATAATCAAAATATTGTGATATCGTATCGTCAAAGGTCTTACAACAATATCGTGGACCACAATATATCGAATTACAAGCCTCTTCACTTAAATGAATAGTTATGGTGCTACAGTAGCTAAAAAACAGAGGGAACTACATAGACCATGATTCTTTGCTCTGTTTCAGTGCAGACTAAGTGTTGTCCAGGCATTCTCAGAGGAAAAAGTAGTGTATTCACAGTTTTGTTAGCCTCCACAAAAGACCACAATATATGTATTGTACTGTGAGATGTATATTGTGAAAATATCATATCGACAGATTTGGAAATTGTTACATCCCGAATAGCTACTGTAATAGCAAAATTAAATTGTTGAGTCAAAA